TATAAACGTACACTGTGTGACCCTTGTGTTGCTGCCTAATGGGTCTTGGTTGACAACTGTAATTCACAAGAGGATTTTATACATAACTGACTGTGTGGTATCAGTGTGGCTTTTCTTTCTGTTACACTGGTACTTTGGACATATGAGCATGGACTTTCCTTCTTTTTCCCCTTTGTCCTTGAACCACAAGTTCAGAATAACTCCCCCTCTGTGCTTCAGAGAGAATGTTTACTTTACCTCTTTGGCTTCTACAGTAATGCAGCAGAAGTCCCGGGGTTGCTTTAGATAACATAGGGAGGTATCTGTCACTAAATATACTGGGAAAAAAAGACACCCAAAACAACAAAAAAAGAGGAATTAGACTTTGACACCTTTAACTTGTCACAATTTTCCCCTACCCATTAAATGCATATGCATATTTTATTTTGACTTGTTGCCTGTAATATGTCATTAAAATGCTTTTTCAAGCCACTTCAAATTTATCTTCACTTTCATTTACTTTCAAACAACTGTCTCTAGCTGTACTTTTCAACAAGATGTGTTTAATATTATCCTTACTTTGGAAAAGTCTTGCAAAGCTCAAGTTCCCATATTAAATAATGAAATTGCTTATTCACACCTGAAGAAATGAAATAAAATGCCTCTAACTTTCTTCCTTACTGAGAAAGTACGTGGTAATGATAATGGTGGTCAGTTGTTTGTGTCGATACTCACCCAGGTGAATGTGGCTGGTTACCTTCTTGTGTATTCGAGCCATGTTGATAGATCTGTCATACAGATGCCTTTTGCCAGGATCTCTCACTAGTCCCCATACATAGGGAAGAGGTCTTTCTATCACTCCTGCTCCCAGAAACCCATGCCTTGTTGCTGAAGGGAATACTTTGTAGTAAACCTGCACTTCTTTTTCTGTACATTGATATCTGTCAAAGATGAAGGAAAGGTATTTGCACACAGAAGGGCCAGGTACAGAGAAAGGCCTCATTATAAAGACTTGCCATAAACTTACTTCCACCCAGCTGCTGCCTGGCATGTGTAGAGGTTCCTCAGGTTATGAGAGCATGCTGCCATTACCTTAGAAATCAATGACAAACATACAGGTAGAACAAGCATAAATTGTGTTCAGATTTTACATGCCGCTACACTATCTTCTACTCAAAGTACTAAGCTGACTTTACCACAAATAGTTTTACAGTGCTGATAATCCTTAGGGAGTACTAACAGGCAAACTTACCAGTTGTAGTCTCTGCTGCCTAAACCAGCCTATTGTAAGAAACTAGCAGCTGGAGAGCACATATGTCCAAATGATGAAGTGATTCTGCCTAATCTGAATTATCAAGTTGGTGTGCTTTCTTTCTAATGACACCTCAGATCTTGTCACATGGATATGTAACCTGCACTATAGGAATTCTTGGATACTAAGGGAGTTGAGCCATTTCAGCAGCTTCACTCAAACATTTTTGCTACAGCTTCCGGAAAGAGATACAGGAATAAGTGAAAACTCTGCTTATTTACTTACCTCAGTAGTAGCATTGGACAAGATATGTTTGGATAAATCTTGGTATCCTTTTGTTGAAGAGTTGCTGACAGAAATAGTTAATCCATGAGTGAACCTACAGCTGGTGCTACTAGGAGGAAGAGGTGGCTCAATTCTGCTGGCTTCTGCAGGAAACAAAAAAGCCACAAGGGAATAAAAATCATTAAAAAAGAAACCCGCCACTATTCTTAAATTGGTGGGATTTAAACCCTCCATTGGAGCATTCAATCCATCTGATCCTGTCAAAGGACTCATAACATCCCTTGTCTAGACAATCTGTGTATTGGTAAGTGTATCACAGTTACATTCTAAATTACTTAAGTTTAATGGTTATTACTACAGGTAAGAAAATAAATTAAGGAAGAATAGGCAACTTAAGTCTTGAGACTAAAAATAAGAACTTGCATGTGCAGTTCTATAGTCACTGCAGCTTTAGGCCCCACCATGCTTCCTTCATTCAAAGCATTGTCATCTCAGAATGCTGTACTTTGATGCTACTACATCAAAAGATCAATTTCAGGGGGAGCAAATCACCATTTACTGTTTCACGAAATTCTAAGTAAGCTCTGGCTACTGGTTGACAGTATTTCTGAAGTCATGTAATGGTAGGGATACATCCTCAAAACACCTTGAATCAAAGTTAGTTTTGATTTGCATAAATGACAAATCTCATTAGGCTTTGGGTTACAACTGAAACATAAGCAGGCATATATTTAACTTACCAAATACGGAATCCTTCTGTAGTTGCTCTAAAATATAAAGCTGACTATTTCTAACAGCTGAACGACCTCGTGTGTCTCTTGAAACCAAAGTATTTCCAGAAGAAACCTGATTTAACAAAGAGCAGAAGTGAGAGCTTTGGGTGTGAACCAAGGAAAATAAATTGTGTTACATAAACAGTGCAAAAATTTGCTGTATTATAAGGTTGGGAGTTTATCATAAGGTAGGTAACACCTTTGCCTTTCCTCTGTTTATGGAGTGATACCTTGACTCAGGAAATTTAGCCAACCAAAGTGTAAGGAGCTAGCACAGATGGATACTTCAAAAGTAGCTTCAGGCAAGTCCATGTTCACACATGGAAATTCTTGAGTCAATGCATGTATCATTGAGGAAGGCACACTGAGAATATCACATTCTGGTTTACCACAAGAAAAGGCTTGTTGTTTCTAAAACACTTGACAGATAGTGACATTACTGACAGTAGTAACTGATTTTTATCCGTGACTTACAAAAAGAATCCCAGGAAAACAAAAGTGTCACTGTCCTTTGCAATTACACAGTAATCTTCCCTCCACTCCATGTCACCCATCTATGTACTGGTGATGCAAAGTTGTCCTGCTCAATAGTTGTGACAGAACACAAATCATCTCAATAAATGTCTCTGCTCCTACATTATGTCTCTGTTGTTGAAGCATCAGGAGACTTCAGTCTCAGAGACCAGTGATTTCTCACCTGCCCTTCCTGGCTGCTGAGGTTACTTGCAGTGTACGTAGCAGCATTACTGCTATTGTAACCAGATGTTGGGCCAGAGGAGAGGCTGAGGCTGGAGTCTGTACATAAAGTGCTTGTACTTGCAAGAGTCTTCAGCCTTGCTTCTTCCTGTAATAGGTATCACAGTATTACAAAAAAACCCCACATAGAACTTCCTGTGCACAGCAGCTAGTCAAATCTGTGATATCAGCAGTGAAAGATGAAAGAGGAATAATCTAAAGAAGACCAGATTCTATCAAGGAATGCTGACAAAAAAAACTGTTGCCATACAGAAAGTATTAAATAAGCAGGCTTGTTTGAAAGACTAGGATTATATAAGCCATAGAGTGAATCACCTTGTAAAACTTGGCAGTCTGGGAAAATGCAATTTTTGCTGTTGTTCTTCTTCACATACAAGAGTCCAGGCTATCAAAGTGATGCTAGGATGTTTTTAAGGGGAAAAAATGTTTTAAAAAAATCTCATTTCATATTCATCTCTTTGTTGCTCTCTCTACTTCTCAAGTCCCTGACTTAACTTTCTGGTCAAATGTAGTTGGTAAAGACTGAAGATTTTACTTTACCAATTCAGTTATTCAATGCTAGCCCAAAAGATGAAATAAAAGTTACATAAAAAGAAAATACTTCAAGAGTATTTATACTTTCAATGTAATGCTCACCTTCTGTAACTGAGAAAATACTTCTTGCCATATTCGCCTTTTTTCTTGTTCTGCTCTCTCCCGAAGTTTGTCCCTAGCTCGTGCAATTTCAGTTTTGGTTTCCTCTCGTGCCCTCTGGTAGTCTCGGAGCAACAGTTCAATGTCTGAAGGATGCTCAATGCTTCTTCTTTTTGGTTCTTGAACTCTGTAAGAATAGGCAAGTACAGGGAAACACATAATTACTTGAAATCATGTACCTAACCAAATACCGTGAGAAAATCATATTGCAATACGGAACAGGAAAATTTGCCAGAAAAGCAATTAAAACCCACTATACATCCTCCAAAAAGTTTCTTTTTGCTCACTAAAGGCTGAGTGGACACTAACCTTAGAAAATTACTCAACTTGCACGTCCAGTTTGCCACTGGGATTACTGCAGTGATTGCACTGGTTTCTAAGTCAGCTCTCCATATGATCTATGGCTTTGGCATATCACATACAAAATAATGATGTTGGGAAAATAACTGTCTCCTGATCTCAAAGGAAACAAAAGTCACTTTGGGGAATGAGAAACTGAAATTCTAAATGGTGAAGGGTTGCAGAATTTTTCTGATATTTAAAATGAAACTGAACTATATGTGGCTTTTAAGTTAGTGAAGGAATAAGAAGACAGATCAGTCTCTGATCAGTCCAGACTGAATACTTGGCTGTCCCCATAAATCATACACATGTAATATATTGGACACTTCTTATGGACCGAAATAAAAGTAGACCCAAGATTTTCATTAATGTTTTCTAAAATCAGGCACACGTTCTTCCTGAAACACTTTCTATCTCAAAGGTTAACATTGAGAAGAATTCTGCCATGGAAATCTTAGATGCTTTAAGGGATCTTTAAGAAATGTTTGCTTCAACCTTGCCTGGCTTTTACAGCATGTTGTGTGGCAGAAGCCTGGTTTCCCTCAAAGCTTGCTGAGTTAGCTGAAGGAGGACTAAATGACAGGATATCTCTAGCTACAGCTAGAGGGGAAAGTGGATCCCGAGCTATAGCTGGACTGCAACTTATACCTCTAGCTATAGCTGGACTGAAAGCACAGAAAATAACTTCCAACTGCAGCAACTTTCCCAGGAGATAACTGCACTCCACTGTCCACCGTAAATCTCTAGCTGCACCTGGACCACAACTTTGCCAGGACACAAATGAGAAAACTTTAGTGTGCCTGCCCTGGGAATCACTATGTGCTGGCCCAGCAAAACTGCAGCAACTTTCCCAGGAGATAACTGCACTCCACTGTCCACCGTAAATCTCTAGCTGCACCTGGACCACAACTTTGCCAGGACACAAATGAGAAAACTTTAGTGTGCCTGCCCTGGGAATCACTATGTGCTGGCCCAGCAACTCAGGGGGAGCTGACCAGTGAGTGCCCTGGCAGAGCCCCATAAAAAAGGACCAGAGTCCAGAGACTGTGTGCACCCACCACCAAAGAAAAGAACACTGCTGAATCCATTGGTGGTGACTGTATCTGCTTCTGCACCTCATATCTTCTTTACATTCCTCTTTCCTGTTTCTAGCTCTTCTAACACCCCTTCTCCCCCTTGTGTGACCAATAATATCTCACTCACCCATTTGACCTCATTTGAGTCTTGATTCATGCTGGGAGAATCAATCAAACCCTCCTGTGTCTTATCAGAGTGAAACAGATGTCAGTAACAACCGTTAATGTGCACCCATTGTGAACACCATCAGTGTACACCAGGACAAAAGAGAAGTTTCTAATGCCCTACCTGGTATTTTCCACCACATCTCTTCTCAGCTGTTGCAGATATTCTCGGCGTCTGCTAGGGAGATCTAGATCCCTCTGACCTGCATCCAGAGTCTGAGACAGACTCAAATGCTTTTGAGGACTCAGACTTCGGCTTCTTTGGTAGCTCTGCAGTCTTTTTTCTCTTTCCTTCCTCAGAGTTTCAATAGTTCTCATGTGTCTATTAGGGAAATGTGATAAGAGTGACTAAATGCATCCTTTATATACTTTTACAGTTTCTCATTTTTTAAAGCACTTAGGTATTAGGTAGTTTTGTAATGTAACATTTATAGGAATCTAATACCATTTAAAATCCCTCTGTCCATGTGCTGAGAGATGATGCAGAAATTCTAAAACTCCATTGCTTTTGTAAAAGTAGGAAATGCACAAGAGGGTCTTGGTTACTGCTGGTAATGGCAAAGAGGCAAATTGAGACTAATGTAGCTCCTCCTAATTTCTTTGTTTAAATTTAACAAATTTGGGGTTTTTTTATTCCTACAGCAGCATTATTCACAGAAGCATGAATGAGATATTCCCATATACAGGATGTATCAATTATCTTTACATTGCAATAAATCAATGAAATACATTCCCATGATCACCAGGTACATGTGATAACTCTCATGGCTGCTAGAAATTTTAAAAGTTGGGTGGCACTAGATTTGAATTGCACCAAATACTGTACTTTTCCCTGTTTTCCTGAAGTAACCCCAAAAATTTATCTTAAATGCTTCATTTAACGGTATACAAAATTATATCTCTTCACATATACGTCACTCAGTGTGACTAAGTGATTCACTGCTCTGCAGTGAAGGCTATTGAAGCTGCATGAAGTGTATTCAAAATGCTTAATACAATACTACTTTAAGTAAGTTACCTTTCATAAAGTTGCTGCTTCACTGGACTCGCCACCGGGTCATCTGCAGTTCCACTCTGAAGGGCTCTCAGCAGAGCATCTGTTTCCCCAATGCCGTAATTGAGTTTGGCTTCAGTCAGCTCCACCGTGAGGGGATGCTGATGCAGATCCAGGTGAATGCCAGACATGATCTGAGCACGCTCTCTCTGAAGTCTCTCAATCTCTCTGCTCCTGCTGTCACAAAGCTGGGATTTCCCTTTCACTTCTGCTGCTCCTCTGCTTCTAGGCTTCGTTTCTGCCTGACTTAGTAAATCAGTCGCACTGCCACTCAAGCCGAGAAACGAGGAAGGAGGGCTGCCCTTCACACCACACCAGTTGCTAAATTTATTGTGTAGAGGTAAGTCACGGAGACTGTAGCTCCTAGGCCTGTATGGCTTTGCAAAGGTAGTGTTTCTGTTGAGAGGAATTTCAGTGTCACATTCGCTTTCAGTGATAGAATCTGTATTGTCGTCTTGGAAGGAGGTTTGCACATCGCTCACATCAGAGAGTGGGGGAGGGCAGCTGTTCTCATTGTTCCAGAAGAAATCATGAAATTGTAGAGAACATGCTTCTACGAGAGGTTCTGAGGACATGCCAGCATTTGTCTTACTGGAACAAGCAGCACTCATATTTTTATTAAAAAACAAGTCAGCATTTGGAGATGAGGAGTTGTGAATCAAAGCAGAATCAGAATTCCCAATGTATTTTTCATGTCTGATTCCAGCTGAAGAACCTCTTCCTCCCCTCATAACATACATACAATGAACTGAACGTGCCAGTGAACCATGGTCTCTGACATCACCTGTTACAACTTCACTGTGGCCTGACACCTCCAACACACCTCTAGAGTGATATGACTGTTTTGCACAAATGGTAGTGTGGGTGTCAACCATGAGTCCATGTAGCTGTTCCAGGTCTTTTGAACCACCCTGTCCTAAAAGCTCTTTGGCTGCTTTCTTATTTGAGAAACTTCCAGATTTCTTTCTTATGCCCTTATGTTCTCTAGAAGCACCTGATTCACTGTCTGTTTCTGTCTGTGAAAAATTGTCCACATGAGGTTGCATGCTGGACTGTGGAACTGCCCTCTGCTTTCTCTGATTGCGAATGGGACTTGAAGCAACGCTGCAATATCCAAGAGGTTCCTTAACAGGGCAGATAGGCTTGCTAAAAGCAGTTTGGCTGCTGGGACTAGCACTAAGAGTAAGAATAGGGGAAGAGGCCCTATCAACTAGCAGGGTATTTTTGTAACAAAACTTTCTTTCTGCTGGAGCCCCTCTTTCAATGACACTTCTTTTATCCTGAGCATAAGGTGCTGGAGATTGAGAGGTGCTATTAGTAGAGCTGCTGATTACAGTGCATGAAGAACCGTCTTGCCCTGGACTCGGCAAAGATGATATGAGAGATGAAACTCTGGTACTAGCAAAAGCAGCATTCTGCTGTGCATTTGATGATGTTTTTTGAAAAGGTAAGAAAGGAGTGGAGGTTCTGGGTAAGCGAGGCAGATGCATAAAAGAGTCTTCCAAAATGCTGTCAAGACTGTCATGGAAGTCAGGATTGCCAAGACTTCTCATCCCTGTCTGCTCTTGTATTCTTTCTTCAAGAGAGAGTTTTTCCTCTTTCCTTTTGGGAATATTTTCTACTGCATCTGCACCAATTTCTTTCCAATCAATGTTTACTATCTGAGCTGCTCTCAATTCATTTTCCACTTTTGCCTCCACTTGTTTTTCTTCATGTTTGCTTTGATGTTCTTCCAAAATCTCAGTTTGAGTGCCTACATCTGCTGTAGTCTGAGTGCAGCTATCTGATCTAGTAGCCTTTACAGCATCTTCAGTTCCTCTTTGTTTGATTTTAGCACTCTGCTCATTATCTGTAATACTCTGTTGGGAGAGGTTTCCCAACAGCTCAGAAGTGTTCTGAAGAAGCTGTGACAGATGCATGGACAGGTTCTGCATGCTTGCCCAAGAAGAAGGTTGATGAAATAAATCCCTGTTTGTTTCCTCCTTTCTTGCAGAAACATCTGTATAACTTCTCTGATGTCTTCTCTGCCTTTTACACCTTCCTGTAGCTGCTGTTTGTGTTCCCTGCTCACATGTAATCCCTGGTAGTTTTTTGGAAGACCTTTCAGACTCAGAAGGATATAACAGTACAATTTCATCAACCTGCACTGAAGAGTTACCAGGTTGTGCAGAAGGATTCTCAAATTCAGCAGTATTATTTTCTGAATTAGTTTCCAATGTTTCACTGGATACAGTGCTATACTGCTTGGTACTGTCACTCGAGTATGCAGATTGAAAGTCTTGTCTGACGCTGTCCCATCCCTGAAGACCTTCAATGCTGCTTAAAGTACTTGATAAAACCTTTGCTGTAGCATATGAACTGAGATGAGAATGAAAAGGAGAATTTTGAGAATTCAAACCATTGTCTACACTGGAACATCTCATAACTTTACAATGTTCCATATTTAAAGGAATTTGATTGCAAGAGACATCACTTGCACTTCCAAAAACATACTGTTTCCAGCCAATCTTGCATGATCCATCTTGTTGCCAGGGGTGATTATATGGGTTGATATCACTTGAACTAAAATGCATTGCATCTTTATTGTCTTGCAAAAATAAATCTGTTTCTGGCTGGTATCGAGGTTCTTCGCCTTTACCTTCACTACACAAAGCTACAGAACTACTCTTTGAATAGACATTTGTTTCTGCACCCACAGAACTGTGAGCTGTGGGCAGTAAGGATGATGGAGATTGAGTAGTACAGTCTTTTATAGAATGGCTGCTTTGGTTTCCTGCTGCAAAATTTTGTAAATTTTCGGGATTGCAGTTTGCAAGTTTTTTAGTTTGTGCCATTCTTTGCTGAAACCTGGGTTTAGATTTAACCTGTAGAAAGTTATTTGATTCCTGCTTTGAAAATCTTTCAATTCCACAAAGATCATCTTCAGTTGGTGATGGAGGCTCTACACTCATATTTAAATCTTGCAGTGATTTAGATGCAGAATATAACAAGGGATCTGCCTTAGATGAAGCTTCCAAAGCATATTCTGTATCAGAAAAGGCAGCAATAGCTGGGGCTGATGCTCTGTGACTTTGTAAATAAGGTCTCCATTCACTTTGTTTACAGTTCTTGGTACTCCGTGTAGTAGAATATGGCCTTTTGCTCCTGAATTGCACCAATTTGGATTCTTGAGGAGGAAAATAATTGTTTTCTGGCAAAAACTTTATGGAGGTAGTTTCATTATTCATTACTGAAAATGTCAGCCTTTCTGATTTCAGAGTCTTACTCTTCATTATAGTGTCTCCCGTGGTTGAACAACTGTCTGCATCAGCATCATCATCAGGGCTATCAACACTTGAACCAGGATTATTTTTGCAAAGTAAAATCTCTTTTCTATCATCTGAATTTGTTCTATCTGGCACCTGCTCTACGTGTTTACCTAGAGGCACATGCTGACAATTATCTTGCAGATCTGCAGGGTTTCTTTCAAAACCCAAGACTGTGTGATACGGTTGCCTGGGATCAGTGCTTCTGCTGTATGTGGGATATGATGGACTAAATGAATTGCAGGTGTATTCAGGATCCACTTCAACATCTCCTGGATAGATATTTTCCAACACTGTAACTTCTGAGCCTATTAATTCATTTGCAGAACTTGAGGATACATTAGTCTGCTTTTCAGCAGGTTCTCTACTTAATATTTTTCTCTGGTCTGTCTTTACTGCAAAATGTTCAGCCTCAATATTTGAATGCAGTTCTTCCTCATTTCTATTTACTATTTTTCTCATTTGTCCCTCTTTAACAAGAATTGCCTTTCCAGTATCCCAGCAAGGTAATGATGGTAGTAAAAGAGAATTATCATTTAATACTTTCTCTGTGTGTTCTGTGCAAGCTTCTTGTGGTGGAACTTTACCGCTATGATGCTGATCAACTTTCACATCATTGTCAAATTTTTTATGATTATTTCCATATAGAGGTTCCCCATCTACAGGAGAATTTTCATATGAAGTACAGTCTGTGTCTGACACTGGACAATGCCTGTTTTCTTTTGCAAGAGAAAGTAAAATACGTCCTGAAGCATGTATTGGCTTATCAAATACCACAGCCTTATCAGACTGAGTATCTTGCATTTGCAAAACAGCAAATGGAGGATGTTTCAATGCATTTGAATGTGAAATATCATATGTGCCAATTTCACCATGGTCTGTATCTGCAGGTACAGAATATTCTGAAAACGTTTTTAAGGATGAGTGATTGACTCTTGCAAATGCTTGGGGAAAATCTTCTTTTACAGAGCACACATCTGCAGAAATGGAGGACACTTTCTCAGTCAAACGAGTGTCCTGAAGAGAGTCCTCAAACTGACTAAGTGCTAGAGTTTTTGAGTCATCAAGTAAACAACTGAAGCTCTTGGAGCTTTGAAATGGTGTATCAGTTGCAGTGTCTTCTGCAGAGCATGATGGAAGAGACTTGGACTCATTACCACCAATCTGTCCTTGGCTCTGGAAAGTAAGCAAGCCCAATTCTGATGCAGTCACACTATTAGTGTAGTGTTCTGAGTGCTCATTAATTTTATTTTCTTTTATGTCGTTGCAATTCTGAAAATAACCTTGAATAATTTTCTCCATTTGATTTGTTCCTACAACTTTTTCAGAGAGTTTATTATTCTGAGCATATGTGGCCCCTGCAGCCGCAGAATTACTTTTCCTTTCATCTTTGTTCTGAGAAGTATCAGGAAAAGTTACAGATACACTTAAATCAACTGATCCACTTGTAAAGTAATTTGTTTCTGCAGAGAGATCAGCATCGTTTTTACCTTTGTCTCCACTGCTGGCAATTAAGTTTTCTGCAGATGATGCTGGACAATTCAGAAGACTAGGAGAACATTCAGAAGTGCCTGAGTTCCTATTATAATTTAGGAACTCTTTACTAAACTGTGATTTTTCCCTTGGAGACTTGATCAGGCCTTCTGAAAGGGCTAAAGCATTCTCAGAAACAGTGCTGCCTAATTGGTCTACACAGCACGCTTCAGAAGTCTGATATTCCTGATTTGCTCTGGGCTCATGCTGATATCCAGCTACCCCAGGAAAGTTGGCATTTTCAATTTTACTGTTTGCTGTAGGATAGCTTGTGATTACAAATTTCTCCTTCTCATCATGCACTGATGAACTCCCTGTGTGAAGTACTTTCTGAGTTGCATTAATATCATGAAATATTTTTTGGGAGGAGATTTCTAGCAAAGAACGCATTTTCCCCACTCCTATATCTTCCATCACCTCTCTCTCTGAAGAAGAAAGCAGGTTTGAATTATCCAAGAACAGTGAATCATGCACAGTATTATCCTTTTCCTCTTGAGCTGTATCTTCTATGGAATTAAGAGAGTCTTCTAATAGTTTAGTAACCATTAAACCCATACTGTGTTCTTCGTGAGCATTGTTAACATCCTGAACTATATCTTCAGAAGAATCTAATTTTTCCAAGGAAAATGGGTTTCCTTGGGCCCTTTGTTGAAGCACTACAGTTTCAGACTCAGGACCACCTACACTGTAGGGAATGAAAGAATGTTTCTCATTGATAGGTTGTGCAGATATGGCATAATCAGGTGCACTTTTAAATTTGAAGGATTCTTCCTCCTGCCTGTCCTGTATGGTCCTGGTTTGCAGAAAAGCTACATTCTTGCTTTGCGTTTTGTCTAGAAGATGTTTGTCTTCTCCCATTTTGTTGACTATAACTGTACCAACACCGACCTCACTTTCCATGAATGTTTCATAGTAAGGCAAAATAGGTCCAGTTCCAAGACTGCTGTTAGATGGTTCGATATGTCCTTTCAATGCAGTGGGAACATCCTGAACAAAATGGGAATCATCACTTACTCCAAGATATAAAAGGTGATTTACAGACTGGCATGGGGATTCTTGAAGGTCTAGGTTTTTTTCTGTAGACTTTAGGGTTACTGGTGGATTTTGTTGCTTGCTGATGTCTTCATTATTTCTAGAAAAGCTGGTAGATACCCACTGGCTTTCTCTTAAGATTTTGTCTAATCTGCTGCCATCATGTGTCATTTGGCAGCTGTCATCCGGGAATAGTTCGTTGAGGTTTTGTAAAACAGTCAGTTCTACCTCCTCTGTATTTTCTATGAACAACTGCTTTTCCCTGTGTGGTTTGGTCATTTGTACCAGCTTCATCAAATGCACTTTCTCCTCCTCAACTCTGGAGTCTACTGGATCCAATTCACTTTTTCTAACAACATCTACATTCAAGTTTTCTGAAGTGCCATGCTGAGGATATCGCATAGAGCAATTCATATGTGCAGGTCTCTCAAGACTTGCAAATTTCTGTTCAATTCTATATTGGTCAATACCAGCACTATCATCAACTGAATATTCACATGCATCGACTGCATTTCCTATATCTCTAACAGAGTCCACTGAACCACAATCCTCACCCATTTCAGTAGGATCATGGTATCTTGAATCATCTTCTAACAGCATATTCTGTTCTAGTTCTGAAGCTGTCAAGTACATTTCAGGGATCTTAAATTGATTTAAAATTTTGTCTTTGTCATCTCTGTCACAATATATCTGATGCAGAGCTGGAGACTGTTCAGTAAATAAAACATTTTCATCTGTGCATGTGTCTTCTTGCCTCATAATAACCAGCCCCTCAGCATTTGCCATGACAATTTGTTCTTCACTCTCAGTCATTTCACATTTATTAACCTTGTCTTCCTGGGGCAAACAGTTTGGTACACAATGCTCAATTAAATTGCTAGAATTTACTTGTCCTTCATTCTCAGGTTTTGCTAAAATATTTCCTTGACTCCTTGTCATTAGTACTGTTGCAGCAACATTCTCTGTTGTTCTGTTCACCTGTAAAAGCCCCTTGCAAGTATCAAGGACGTCAGAAGTATTCTGAGTGATATCTGTTGTGTGGGAACACACAACAGAAGGAGTGGTTTTGGGAGCACCAGAAAACTCTGATGAATAAATACCTATTTCTCTTTTCTCACTTACTTCTTTTTGGCAAAAGCTGCTTGTTTCAACTTGGCTGCCAGCATGCACGAGTGCTTTTGATTCCTGAGTATGTTCTACCCTGGTGCTGGCTTCCTGCAGTTCATCTTTGTCCACCTCTTCATGTGTCAGGCACAGATTTGTATTAAAGTCACACTGAACTTCATAAGCTAAAATACTAGTAGGTTTCTTTGGAGTCTGAGATAGACTAATGCCTTTAAGATCCTTTCCACTCCTGTCTTCAGTTACACTTTGGACTTTGGCTACTGGGTTATCAGGTAAACTTTCAATTTGTTTGTATTTAATTTCCGATTCATTTATTTCTAAGTCGATTGTACTATTGATTAATTTTATTATTTCTTCATCAGTGTTTGCCTCTGTATTCTGATAAGGAGACATAGTTTCTTCTGTTTCTTTTTCAGTTTCCAGGTGTCTTAAAAATTTGGATTCTTTACTTATGTATGGACTCTCCTCTTGAGATATGGCAGCTGATATATTTGTGTTGCATTCAAATACCCTTCCTAACTCTAAATTTACATCACCTTCAACAAGAAAGATATCCTGTGGGCAATCGCTTTCAAAAAAGGCTTCTTTTTCCTTTCTTGATTCAAGTAAAGATTTGTTCTGTGTTTCTGTTTCCAAGAGAATGGATGCATCACATTCCACAGAAATGTCAATTGTCTTATCCGCCCTGTTTTTCTGCCCTGTTGACTTTGAAGAGCATGTTGTGAAACGGCAGCCAGAACATACATCAGAACAACTTTCTGTTGCACTGACTTCCACAGCAAGATTAGATGCAGCATCACAATCTCCTTTCACTATTGTGATGTGTTCCAATAGTTTATCACAATTTTCGGTCTCAGATGCACTTTGAAAAACATTAGCTTCTGTTGAAGCTTTATAAAATATGCTTGAATTAGACTCTGGGAGAAAGTCATCTATACTTTCACAAACAGCAGCCGGAAAGGACTCAGTGTCTTTCCCATTTACATTCAGTAAGAAATAACTTCCTTCATTTACCACTAAGTTTTTGTATTTGGATGAAAATTCTTTCTGAACTACAACCTGAGCATTCAAGACATCATGTTCTTTGCTTTCACCTCTTGTATTATTAGTGCATAGCATAGAATTTTCTGAAATTTGCTGGGATAAGCAACTTGTGTGACTGTCTGCTAGAGCACATTCATGGGAATAAACCTTTGAAACAGGTTTGTGTTTGAGTTCATAATGATTCAGCAAAGACAAGTCTTCATCCTTTGATTCGTGTTCTTCATGATCGCTGAATGAAGGCACCTCTGGCACAAACTCTGCCAAGCTGTCTATGCTTGTTTCCATACAGATTATCTCTTTCTGAGACATCTCTATTGGTGTTGCAGATTGGTCATAACTTTCACTAGCAGCAACAACTAAAGGGTGACACTGATATGTTGTCTTCTGTGAGGAAAAATCTGTCTCTGTTGTTATTTCTTCTGCAGGTATGGGTTCACAATCTGTTTCTTGCATAGTTTCCGAATTGTTCTCCCCAGACCTGAGGAGACATTCTGTAACAGCTGATTCTGCTCCTTGTCCAGCCAACATCTGAAACTCATAACTGCTTATTGGAGAGTGGTTCTTATTTATTAAGTCACTCAGAAAGAAACCTTCATCACAGCATGTTGGTATTTTCCGAATTGGAAAAAGCTCTCCATGGTTTTCAAACTGAAGATGTTTTACAGCAGATGTTTGTGTTGAGGTCCTATTATGACAACATTCCACAGAAGATTCAGCACCAAGTGCACTGACAGATGCAGTTCTGCTACCTGAATCTGTCACACTTGATTTTGTCATCAAGTTATTACAGTCATTGTTGAGCTCATCTTCTGAAAAAGTTCTGAAGAAATGATCTTCAAAATCTGCATCTATACAGCCATTCCTCTGCTCCACAATTTGCACAGGCAACGCAGAAATAAAAGGTGCTTTTTTTAGAATGTGATCTTTTGGCAATTCTGGATGAATTGTGGGGAGAGAATCTTCCTGTTTCCTACATACCAGCGATGAGAAGTCTGCAATGGAGGCGCTTTCCAAACAGCTGAATGTTTGTGTGCATTCGGTGGGAGACCTGTAAGTAGATAATTCATTCAGTTGTTCTTGTTCAGGACGATGTGACCTTGAATGTTCATAATAATCACACTTTGCTGAAGTAGGAATGAAGGAGGAACTTGATCCTACTGAGCTAACAAATGAGGATATTACATCTTGAGACTTCACGGAAGAATTTTCATTAGAGTCTGTCCCTCCCTTAAGATTTTTAGTTAATGATCCACTTTCAGAAATTCTGTTCGCAGTTGTTGTTTCAGGTAAAATCACCTCTGATAAGTCAGAGGAGAAAACTGAATTTACCTCATTTATATGATGTGGTAAGTGAGTAATGCTGTGAATCTGCTTAGAGCCAGAAACAAAAGAAACCTCAGCAGCTGACTGCTTTAGATCATCTTTCTTCAGCCAAAGCTCTGGTTTGCTCAAAGAGCACAGATGAGCTTCTTGAAATTCCAGATTTTCATGGGAAGAAGGTGCTGTTATTCTGGGGCTGCTGATATCAGCCTTTGAGTCACAGGAAGACCAAGCAGCCGTAGTAAGCAAAGGATTTTCACCTGCGTAATACAGTCTTCTATCAAGACACCTTTCTTGTTCTACAAAGGAGACTTCTGTCCCCTTCAGCAACTGCTTGCAAGCATTACTGGAAGCAGGGAGGGGTTTAGTGTCCAAATAAAAGGAACTGCCCACCTTCAGATCATAATTTGTCCCTTCTGTATCTCTGAGGCAGGTCTCAGACTTATGATCTTCCGCAATCTCTGTAGCTGGTAATCTAGGAGTTTGTAATTTCCAGAAAATCTCTGCTGGCATTTCATCAGATGAATTGGATTTGGATTCTTCTACCAGATCTTCTGGTGGCATCTCTTCTCCATCAGCTAAGCTGTCCAAAGAAAAGCTTCTTTCAGCCTTTCCCAGTCCCTTACGAGATGCATATGATGTCACCAAAGATGAAATACGGTGCTCAGTTCTGCTTTTGTAAAGCTTAGCTGGCTCATGGTGGGCTTTTAAATTGTGATATTGGCTTGTATTTTGCTTTTTGGCTTTATTTTCCTTTTCTACCAGAGAGTCTTGTGACATTTGACTGTCATCACTCTCAGAATCTTCTGGGTTGGCAAAACATTTATTTCTGTCAAAATCTTCTTGTTTTGGTTTCTCTGGGAAAGCTTTTGCATAAGCACAGGAGAGAGAATCTACAGAATAGGAACTGTCAGTATCAGAAATCTCATTTTCATCATCCTCTTGCCAGTTCCCCTGCACATCTGTAGCTGTTTTGGACACTCCAGCACTTAGCATCTCAGCACTGTGCCACTTTTTTTCAACGTAAGACAGTGGTGCCAGCGAGTTCATCTTAGTGAGATTTCCTACTGATGTTGCTGCCATCAAAAATTCTTTCTGTTCAACTGATGATTTCTCATGACTTGACAAGGCTGAGTTTGGCTCTCTCTTCCAGTTCTCGGCTGTTTGGTTTAGATGCACTGATGGTGAGTTTCCATTCACTGTTTTCTTCATCTGTTTAGGAAAGTTTTCTGGAGAAGACCTGTGGCCTCTTCCATTGATATCCATTCTAGTCTTTTTATTGGATACCTGAGATCTATTTTGTTCTAGATTGCTACTTGCAGGCTGACTGAAATCTCCTAGCACCTTTGATTTTGTCATTCTTGTCCCTGTAATACAGGTTTTAGGCTCATCTTTCTTCTTAAAAAGATCAGAAGAGGAGCCTTTAGAGGTCTGTTTTTGAGATCCAGTTTGCCCTGGGTTGTCATCCAACTTTTCAATTTTTTGATAATTTTTATTGATATAAGCCATGACAGACAAATCATTAGAGTCTTTTTCTGCTCCTTTTCTATTTCCAATTGAAGATGGTTTTTGTTTTTCACTTAGCTGCCACTGGACTGAAAAGGAGATCCCCTTTTCAGCATTAAGGTCATCACTCCCAGAAATGTCTTTACCACTTCTGTAAAGGCATTCTGCAGGTGACAACCTCCCTGTTGTACTGCTTTCACAGTATTGATCAATATTTGGTGAGGTAGATAACTTTGAGACAGCCTCCCTCTTCAACAAAGAGCTGTGGAAATAAAGAATAAATAAAGTCCAGTCCTTGCTTGAATAATGTACTTAACAATGCTTTCACCTCAGTAAATGTCTTGTAGTTAAGAGTAATGATACATGAAGCAACAATCTTAAGGCCTTTCAAAAGCAAATTCTATCCTGAAATATACTCTGCATGCAAAAGAATAGCTCGATACTATGTGGTATAGCTTGGCATTGAGTCTCTGTAGGCTCAAGTAGTTACAGACATTAATAAAAAAATAAAAGATGGTTCTAAGTCACAGAAACCCATTTAGCAGAGTTAAGCTGTTTCCTGCTGTGGAAATAGCTAAGGACCATGCTGTGACAGACACCTCAGCACCCCAAGGTTTTAGCATTGCATAGAGATGTTTATTTAGCTTGAGAAAGGCTGGCCAGTGTAAAAGTCTAATCCATAACTACCCCAAAGATACCAATATTCCAAAGGAAGAATCTGACCCTAATCAAGATAAAATTATGCAGAAATTAGTATTTGCCAACATTCTGAACAAGGCAATAAATAACAAGAGTTAAGCCAGTTCAGGTAAGCGTTCTCAAAATAGTAAAAAGTGCAGAAAGGCTTGAGAGAGGAATGTAAAAGAGTGATAAAGACCATGTCAAAATGGTAATTAGGGAATGCACTGTACAAACCCAAGGGAAAAGGACAAATAGCTCCAGTGTCATGCACAATATACTAGGTTTGCTGATATTGCAGGTTTTGGGACTGTTTCAACACATTGAAAGGCATTCAGGATTATAGGTGGCCACTGAAAATACCTTGAATTTACATTACTTTTGAAAGTGCAGAGGAATTGGCAGATGTTAACTTACCTGTGTACCGGGGGCAGATGTGGGTTACAGAATGAATGCTGCCAGTGCTGCAAGGAACTCGAACTCAATGACTTCTGTTTCTTTCGCAACTGGTGATCCAAAGAGGACTGTCCAGCAATATTTTCATTTAGGATGTGGGATTGTTTCACACACACTTCACTGGGCCAGCAGCTAGCTTCCAGCTGCTCTAGGTTTTGCTTTGCTTCCAATAACTTCTGCTTCTTGACTATACTTTCCAGCTGGAATTTGACCTTTTTCCGCCTTATGTTTCTTTCAGCCCTTTTTAAGGAGTGTCTGCGCAAGAGCTCCAGTTGTACCAGTCTCTTCTTGTTCTGCTGTAACAGGGAAAGGCAGACCTCCAGCCCAGTGGTACTCTGCACCTCAGCCTCTTCACACAGCGCAGGCTCTGTTTGCACTGCAAACTCCCTCTGTTGTTGCTGAAGGGCAGCCAGATGTTTATTCTCATTTATAAGCCACTGCTGGTCTGTAAACAAAACAGGCATTGAAAGAAAGTAAAAACCACAGGAAAACCATTGTTCATTACTATCTTGTTTCTCAATTTAAGCAGCCTCAAGAGCTCATTTGAGAACAGAATTTCTATGCATGTGGAGTGGAGGCTTGACAAACAATTTAAAGAGAAATGTATCACTGTTCTACTTCACTGATAACTGAAAGCCTCTCCATTGGGGTAAGGACTCAGGTAACAACTGCAGGATACAAGAAGGAGCTTGGCCAATACAGATAAAGACATAGGTGGATAAAACCTTGTTTGTAAGCAAAGAGTAGAACACATTTCAATTTCTCAAAGATTATACTCAAAACACCTCAATTTTGTTGTTAAAATACAGTGGAAGCATGAAAAGATCTGAGTTCAATTCTGTGCACTTTTCAGACAGGATATATATTCACACAGTGAAGAATGACTTCATTAGCTTTTTACTATGAAATTTGCTACTACTTCTGCCTTAAGTATTCTCAGGTCACATGTTAAAACTTTGTATGTGTTACTTAGGGAATGAATGTATGTGCACTGGGAGCAGAGTTAACAAGGGAACTCGAAGAGGAAGCTTCACAGAGCTAAACAGAGCTCAGCATTTACTTCTGTGTTAAATGCAGCAAACAGAATTTCACATGCACACTAATGAGTCTTTGGCTAATAGATTCCTACATTTTGAATGAAAAAATAAGCACTTGTGCAATCTTAAAATGTTACTGACTTCTCATCATTGCATTTGAGTGTTTTACAAGTATTCTAAACCAAACGTTTCTCTTTGTGTCCTTTGCTCCTACCTTTTGCTCCTTAACTTGACCAAACTGAAAAAACCCTCACCTGCAAACTTTTTTCTCTCACTTACCTAGGCATGCTGAAAATTAGGGAGTCCAGAGTCATACTAATGGACTTTGTTTAGCATAGGCATTTTTTGTGCTCATGCTTACTGGTGGCAATTTGAGCAAGCCTGGAGGCTAGACCTCCCTGTGCTCCACTTTGGATGGGTCTCATTTTCATGACAGCTGACAGTCACCAGTCCTGTGGACAGGTATGCAACCTTCCAAGTGAGTTGAAGTCAAGGCTACAAGGATGTAATTGTTTAGGTACCTGCCAGAGAGTTCTGACAAAATGCATCAGATGAAAACTTCCCAAGCAACACAGACCCTGTGTGGCACCTGACTGAGGTAGAGCTACAACCACAAATTTACTACCTGTTGCAACTGTGGCTGTCCCAACAAGCACTTGCCAAAACAGCCTGATGGGAGCCCACACATCCTGTACATGAGCACTTTAGCATGTAATCACAGAATTACAGAATCACAGAATGGTTTGGACTGGAAGGAACCTTACAGATCACCTAGATTGATGTATACGAAATAAATACTGTCATGGCAAGGACACATGTGAAGCAAACACAACCTTTAGCTACTGTGGCAAACAAAATTCAAAAAACCAGAAGCTCATACCACCAGTCAATGCATATTTTTCACAAAATCACCACTCTATGCCACAAAAGCTAGCTTCTCTGCTTTTGTTAATGACTCCCATAGTTCATAAATGCTAAATATGTTCACAAATTGATTAACTTAATTCAATAATAAAATGTTACTTCTGCTTGCACACTTAGTCTACTTAGTCTTCTCTAAATATTCAGAACCTGGTCTTTGCAGTCAGTGTGGAAGCAGTAGAAACCAAAACACTAGGTTGATTTGTTTGGAACCTTGGATTGAAGACTACTTTATTCCATGCAGGGGATGGATGTGCTTAGAGGTTTTTCAGAGCATACCAGCTTCATCTAAGCTGTGATGAACTGTAACAATCAAAAGAAGGGACTACTGAGATCACCACTACCAGGTTGTATCTGATGGCTTGGGCATGTTCTCTTAATGAAGCAGAGTTTTTATGCAGCTATATTCAGCTGACAAAGCAAACAAAAAAATATCCATTGCTGAACAAGCAATGCAAAAATCTCAGGTCAGGTTCTCTTACAAGTGGAGCATTTCTCAAAGAACGAACACTTTCCAAAGCACTGCTGTCTTACTAGCAGCACCATTTTTTTGTCCGGGCTCACATTCCATGTGCAGTCCTTTACTGAATAAGCAAGGTTTCATTGCTTATTCAGGAGTGTAGGAATTCAGAAGTATTTAAATCTGATGTGATGAACGAGGGCTACCTGCAGCTCTGCACACCTGAGTTGCAAGAGAGGAATTTGGGGCTCTGGAAGTTTCCCTAATGTAAGAAATCATTAATGCATAGGCACAGACAGCATCACTTGCTTGGTGACTATTGATCTTGTTAAACATACTTCATTAGTGATCCCTACCACAATGAGTCTCCTGTTCTGTTTGTGTTGGCAGCTCTGCATAGAGCACATGCACAGAAGCAGGAATTCTAGCTCTATGGTTACTCTAGGGATAAAAGGGAAGCATTTTAGTAATTATTTTAGTTAATTTTTCTTAAAACCATTTTAACTTTCACATACAAAGCTTTTTTTTCCTCAACTCTATTTCCAGACGTCTCCCCTTTAGCATGTTTTCAGCAAGCAGAATATTTGGCAGGTAAGAAATTCCCTTAGAGCTGCAGGCTCTAAGATGCTAATTAATCTCTGCTTACAAACTTGCCTCTATCAGGAGCTGAGACACAGAGGGCACAGAAAAGGTGAAGAACTTTGGTGGGTTGCCGAGTGAAGAATTGCATTTGGCTGGCTAAGCTTTGCCAGAACACAGTGAAAACTGCTGAAGAAGTCTACAGAGCCACAAAATAAAGACATTGTAGGGGAACTCTCCTGGTTCTCTGTACTATTTGCATATTACATTCTTTCGCTATATCCCATCAAAACAATTTCATTTTAATCTCTTCATTTTGGCTGGCATAATTAAAAGATAGCTGACTGTATAAGTTTGGGTCTGAGATGTTGTCAAAATTCACAGACGTTTTCTTCTCCCAGGAGGAAATAGCAGATTTTGACAGGTGGAAACAATGCCTTTGTATAGGCATCCTTTGCTTATCAAGAAACGTGGATCAAATCATTCACTGGAAGACAAACTAGAGAACACTATAACCATCCTATTTCAGTGATCAAAGACATCTCAAGGTCTAAAATGTTCCCAAATCAGTCTAAAAACTCTTTAAAGGGCAGCCCAGCCCCTTCAAGGCATCTTGCTGAATATGTTTGCTGTCATGTAAAGTAGCACCTCTGGGGGCCAGGAGCCACTGACACTAAGAAATGCCTCTCAAAACATGCTGTGGCTCTACCTTCAGACATAGCTATTTGCCATGCAAAATCTGACCACTGATCTAGTCTCTAGTATTTTTGCATACATGGTAGAACTTCCTAGAAATAACTCCTATTTGAACCAAAGCATGTCTCTCCTTTTTTGATTCAGTTTTGGTTTAAAACAAATTCAGCAGTGGGAAATGCAATATCACTCATTAATCATCTTTAGGGTAAATAAAACCCACATCTTATTTTTAATCTTGTTACACTTCAGTTTCTACCACAGAATATCTTCATGCTATAAAACAGTGTGAGTGTGTGGAAATACTGATTTTCCCTTCCCTTAACAGGGTTGGGATTTTAGCTCTGAATTTCAGTGTACTTCTCAGATGTGTTTTCTTTGTTTTCATTGTTTAAAATGCACATAGGAACCACAGAAAATTCAGTTTGAGCCATTGTCTCATGTTACAGACCTGTTTTTCCTAATGAGTGAAATTCATCAAAAACAAGTGAAAATTATCTACATTTTTACAGGTGATTCCCTTAACAGGGTTGGGATTTTAGCTCTGAATTTCAGTGTACTTCTCAGATGTGTTTTCTTTGTTTTCATTGTTTAAAATGCACATAGGAACCACAGAAAATTCAGTTTGAGCCATTGTCTCATGTTACAGACCTGTTTTTCCTAATGAGTGAAATTCATCAAAAACAAGTGAAAATTATCTACATTTTTACAGGTGATGCGTACCTCAAGTGACACATCAGTCACATAACATCACACCCATAACATAAAGCATCACTAGGACAAAAACAATGATAGGATGAAAATATGCAGCAATGGAAGGGAAGTGAGGGAAGAGAAGAGGCAGGTACTCACTTTCTTCGATTTGCTGGTTGATTAGTGCTTGGTCATTTTCTAGTTCCTGATCTGCTTTGATCTGTCCTCTCAGGATCTGCTGCTTTAACTCTTCAACACAGAGCTGCTGTTGTTGAATCTGTTTTCTGTGGAAAGCTTCCTGGTCTCTCAGTTTCTGCTTGTACTCTTCATGTACAGCATCTATTTCCTTACTGTTGCAGATATTGACAGTGAATTTATACCAGAAACACATGTTGTAATAAAACAAGTCATCTTACTAAAGAAAGACAGACAACATTCAAGATATCGTATGTTCAATAAGGTGCATTATGACAAGAGCTTGTGATGTTAAAGTAGCTGTATGTAAAGTAGCATGTCACAGCAGGCTACAATCCTGCAAGTGTCATAAATGCCAGCAAACAGGAAAGCTCTAGAGGTGAAGCAGGCAATTCCATTGCCAGAGAGATAATAGCAAAAAAAGAATCTAAAAAATACCGTCACTTCTCATTTTGCTGTAGATCTTTTGAAAATGAAACCGGGGAGGAGGTTGTTCATAAGTTATAAAATTTTATAACCACTATATAGGATATTTGTCATCCAACTACTTCAAAGTGGTTTACAGAAATGATGAACATTGTTCGCTGTTTTCAGACCAAAAAACCTCAACCTAGAAATATTTACAGGCATTGTCGAGATTATACCAACAGTCTCTGGCAGTACCAAGGAAAGACCTTGATCACCGAATTCTCTGTTGGATGCAACAACTATATTAGGTTACTGCTTCTAGATTTGGAGCAGAATTGTGATCAGAGAAGTGACTAACCTGTGGAAAACTGCTTTACAGTCCCCTCCAAGATATTTGGCTGCTGTGTGGTAAAATTTCACACGCATACACAGAGAGTAACAATCAAAATAGTATCTATTCTTAGCATGATCAATGGTAATATTCAAAATACCTTAAACCTCTGAAAGAAATATATATTCCACCTCTCCATGAGTTATCATCAAGGAATACTTACCATTAAATTTAGATTATATATAAAGGTGATATATGATCTTTGCCTCTCCTTTTGTTTCTAAACACTATGTTAGTATAATAACATCAGGAAATTAAACCTCTGAGTCTTGAAAAAACGTTTTAAAACTTTTTTACTAATGAAGTAAATTACGTATTTATTATACTTCTAAAGTGAGTAACTCTTTATGAAGAGTGCTAGAATGCAAAAAAAACCCCCCAAAAATACAATTTCAAGGGGAATCTTTGGACACATTATTTAGATGGCAAAATCATTACCAATACAAGGTCATCTGTATTTGAGCTTTGCTACCTAGGAATAATTTAACATATCTATTTAGAACATAAGCATGTGTTCAAAGCAAAAACTTGATTTTGTATGCTAGTTTAGCAGATAAAACAGATGAAGCAATTGCAGCCAAAGTCTCTGAGACTACCTTTATATGGAACATATATTTCACTTTCTTAAGAAGCAGTGGGAAAACCTCAGTACATAAAAGCCTTAAGATTCTCAATACTTTACAGTATTACTGTGACACCCACTCACCTGAGGAAAACAGAATTCAGTTTTGTTTTAATGTTTATGTAAATGTAATGCTGATGAGACTGAGAGAACATCTTCTGTTTAATTGTTTTGCATGGTGCAAACAAAGTACAAACTTTGCCAGCATCATCTGCTAGATGGTTTGTGTCTATTTGTGACCCACAGGAACAAATTATAAGTATAGGCAGCTTCAAGATCTATTTGTCCTTGGCTTGACTACAAAGACGCCAGCACCCTGTGATTTGTAATCTTTTTCCTTTCAGATAAACGAATCAATTTCCAGGAAATAGAAGTGGGATGCCTCATTCCTCATTCAGCTGAAGTAGGTTTGAATTGATACTTCACTGCAGCACTGAAACATTTGTATGGCAATTACAAATCTTCAGCTGTTCAGGTATTTGTAATGCCACCAACAACTGGAGGACAAACTCAGAGGTTAAAGCTAGACTGGTTAACTACAGAAGAATCACTTTTTGAGCACAGTATTAAACCCAAAGGATGTCATTTAGGAAAAGCTCCCGTGGTTTCAATGATAAGTCTGGTGGAGGCTTTCCCTGAATGCAGCTGTGAGGTTGTCTAATATATTTTCCAAGGGAAATGTAATGGAGCAGCCATTTAATCTGTAGGTTGAAGTACTGACCTGAGACAAAACATCTCTGATTTTGGAACAGTTTCATCACCTCTGTGCTTTCACATACTTGGGCTGCAAGGTCTGCAGGAGGAGAATTGTCTCTGGATGCCTATGCACTAAAACTAACAGAGTCACTGTGCATATTCTGATGATGGGGTAGTCTTTTTAACCTGTTTTACTGCAGACATTGAAAAGCTCTGATTCCTAAGCTGGTATGAAAGTTGAAAAATATGAGCCTAAATTTATTACTGGTCTCGCATGACCTTGGGCAAGTCACTTAGTCTGTGACACATGTGAAAGAAGCAAAGTACATTCATTGACTCAAGAGAAGAGACGAACATCCGTTAGCATCAGAAAGTCAAATATCAGAAGAGCTGATTTCTATTCATTTATGATTACTAGCACCATTCTATATGTGACTGAGGAAAGTGAGTAAATCACTGCCAGCAGGCTGAAAAGCAAAGCATGATAGTAAAACAGGAGAGAAAGAATTCTTGTTCTGCAACTATTTACTAAACTAGATAAAACAAAATGCTTCATATAAAATATCTCTCATTCTTCCCAACCATGACTTTTTGCTCACAGCCATTCTTTCCATAAAACTGACCAATCAGAATTCAAACTGTTTACAAACTGATACCTAGAACATTTAAGTGTATGAAAAATTCAGTGTTGCATTTCAATCCAAACACATAACAATGCTCATAAAGGTGGTTTGGTACCATCTGTTTACAACTGGTAGAGGGTCACAAGCTTTTCCCATACTTTTCAATGTTGCTGAAACTACAGCCCACCCCCACATTATAAAGTATCAGAGAATAAGCAATGCAAACAAAGCACATGGAAGTGTCTTTGCTGTTCTCAGCAGCACTAGCATATTCCCTCGTGTGTGGTAATGGCTTTTTGCTGAACTACCATGAAACTGTGAGATCCTTTCCAACAGGCATGTGTGTTTGCATACAGAGCAGAACACAATGCAGGCCAAACTGAAGTTATTAATCACAGCTCTGTACTATGACTACACCCCAGAAAGACAGAGTCCAGAGGCATACCCATACTTCACTTTAAACCTTGAAAAAACAAAAACAGCAAAGCAACCATTGCAGTGCTATTTCTGCTTTTGTTCAGGTGATCCAGCTAGTTGGTACAATTCTCCCTCTGTAAGGTCAAAGTTTCTATAGTAAAATATTGTTCCTGAAGGTATATATACAAATTGCAGTTCTGCTGTTATTTCACTGTCTCTTTGCTTCATTTCCTAATTTTTAATAGTACAGAAAAAAACATGCAGGGCAGCAAAGACAGGTCTGAATACAGAGACTGAACATTAACCACCTTTTTATGAAGCTGTTTCTTAAAGACAGTTTTCTCAAGTGGAACAAAAACAATGAAAATTCACACAGAGCCACTTACATAATACATGTATGCCAGAAGATGTTTTCCCTCTGGCCATGAAACTACTGACTGAGAGAGCAAAATGACTGGCTGGTTTGGGATACAGATCTCTCTCTCACAGGAACTGATGAAGAACATAAAGTCAGAATGCTCTCTTTCTACCTTCAAACATGCTATGTAATGTCAGCACACTCTTGCTGGTTCGTGAAAATAACATGACAAACTTAACTAAAAAATGAGATGACAATAGCCCAGAAAGAAAATAACAGTCACACACACTTCATAGCTAAATCATCTAACAGACAATTCGAAGAACAATCAGATTGTATAATATGTTTGAATGATTAAACCAAATACAAGTATCAATCCAGTTAACATAAGAATTTAGACAAATTTTGTAATAGGTAGATGAGATCACTCATTTCTTTTATCGAAAACGTCTTAAATCAGATGAACTGTTAAATTTAGATCGGAATACCAGAATGCTACCAGATACAGGAATCAAGCACAGACTGCTATTACTCACATTCCTGTTTTTCCACATAAGCAATCTACACTCAGTATACTGAGTATGAAATAATATAACCTTAGTATGAAATAAAATAACCTCAGGACAAACATAAGAGAAACAGCTTCATTTCTGTAGGTATCAAGACTGCATAATGTCTTGGTTTCACAGGACCAGCATACTCTGGCATGCAGCATATTAAAAAAAGCAACCCTGCAGAGCATTTCATAAAAGCATGCAGATTTCTACATACACCAAATGCAGTAAGAACGTCAACAGTTACCCCTCCTCCAAGAAATCCTTCAAAAACAGCAAGTAAAATTGCAACAAAAGGACACCAACCTTAAACTAAAGATAATCACCAATTTTCATGATACCAATTCTGCCCGATTGTTTATCCATCTCATCTTTCTCTCCACAAAGTTTGCATGATGCATGCTAAATGAACCATCTGTAAATCCACATTTTTTTCCAGACAGTTTTGTTGTCAGCTCTCTGGGATCCTATTGTGCAATTCTCCTCCCCTCTTCCCCAAACACTTCCACTGCTGATGCAGAGGCTGGCGGCTGCTACAGCATAATGCAGTTTTCAGTAACTATGGCAGCAATAGCTCTGTGGTGAGGCTGAATACCTGATGCAACAAAATCTTAAGGTTCAGAGAGAGAAACCCCAGTGAAATTAATCACTTTTCCTAAAAGCTGAAATTCATCAATTTTCCCAAACAAAACATCAGTCAAGTTAGCATCCCCATCTTTCTGGCTGCCTAGTGTTCAAGTCCCATTTTTCCTTCACAAATGCTTTTTTCCAGGGGAAGAAGAGTTAATATTAAAGCAGAAAGAAGGATGTTGGAATGGCATTTTGTACTCTTGCATACCCCAGGAGTGAGAGCAATCACAGGTCAGAGTTACAAGCCTATCTGCTAACATACATCCACCCCCACTCCATCCTCCCCCTCTGCCAGTATCCAATCTGAGTCCCTTCCTGCAGAGCCTTGGAGCATCACACAGCAGCACGTACCACGCAGCTGCACAGGATCATAGCTCTGCTTCTGCCTAGCACAGAGGCCCAAACCTCTCCCTTCTGCTCCCTAAAGAAAAGGGAAGAGTGATGAAGTAAATACCAAGACCTTGTATTATCACCTCCTTCAGCCTCCTGAAGGAATGCCACTCAGAATTCAAAGCAAAAGCTGGAGAGTAGTGGACAGGAAATGGGAACCAGAAATCAGAAAAAAATGGCCAGCAGAGTCAGAAGCTTTTAGAAATAAGGAATTTTTGGAAATGTGCACACAGCGTAATTGCCTTCATGGAAGCTACCATCAGGTGAAGTATCATTTGGATTTCTGATTAGCTGGTTTGCTTACAGAAACAGCACAACTGTGCTTTTTGTGTGTGTGTGTTTTTTAACCTTTCCATGCAAAACCTCCTTTTCTTTGCTTAAGCCCCCAAAATAACAGTAAGGCAGTGACTTATTTTAAGGCAACCCTTAAAAAACATCTCTAAAACAGACCACTTTTTGGCAAAGAGTCACAGGTCCAAGACATGGCCACAAGACATGGCCACACACTCAGTAAAGGTCAATGCTGCCCTTCTAAATTCCAGTTCAGCTATTGCAGGTTTTCTCTTCACAATTTCAGTTATATAGAGAATTATTTAAGTTCTCCTGCTAATCTACTATACACGATTCTGCTGTAAGTTGTAGAGTTGCTATAATTGACACAGTGCATTTCTCAGTGAAATGAAATACTGCAGGGATGTTTTAACAGATGCATCAGACACTTTTGTAGAGCACTTAGAAATTCTCAAATGAAAGCTTTTGGTGAAAACTCAGAGTATTTGACAAATATTAGTGGGACATGTTAACTATACCACATTAGAATAATAATTGTGTTGTGTTCTCCAGCATGAGATGCTGCATCAGATTTCCCCCTCCCAGCAATGTTGGTATTTTCATGGAAAGAGGGTTTAAACATTTTCCAAGCAGTGGAAGTCAGGGTACTGCTATATCACTGGACACTAATGGAACGACTCCTATGGTTTGTTGGTTTTTTTTCAAACCAGCAAGATGATAAAATCAGAGTTTATATGTAGTATGGTGTTAAAACAACGACAGGAGCAAGAACTTTATTATGTATTTATATGGTGATATTATAATATGACAACTGATGCCATTCACAAGCTTTCTATGTGTTTGCTGGCTGACAACAACCATCAGAAGTTTGAAGCACTGGGGCTCTTCTGAGTAGGGTGTATGAGCAAGCAACCAAGTAAGAGTACATTGGATCACACCCCTTTTCAAGGAAATTTTCATTCCTAAATTTTAATATTTGTGTGCAATGGTAGAAATGCATTTTTCTCTCACTTCTCAAAATACTTTAATATACAATTAAAGGTTGGGTAATTCAACCCACGAAAAGTAGATAAGAAAAATGTCATCATACTGACAGCATGGGTAGTAAGACTTATATCAATAAGTAATCATTACTTTAATACATATATTGATGTGCTCTGAAATAAGAAGTCCAGAAGAAAGCAAAGTACCATCAGTTCATGATGAAAAAGTACTTAAACCCATGGAAACCCCAAAATTTCTGAATTATTTCAGCTGCTGTGTTTCTTCGCACACATGAACCATGTTCTACGCTAGGAATTAATTTTTGTTTACTCTTCCCTAAAGCCATTTTAGTTCCACCAGAAGATAACCAAATTTGTCCAAGGAATTTTCAATATACTAATTAATATTCATAATACCTACTATTGACCTAAAACTGAACATATTTAGAGTTCTTATATGCTGCAAATTGGTGACAGCTTCAGAGTAAACCCCACTATAATTATGGCTTTCAAATGCAGGTTACACATGCAACCAAGACGCAAATCATTTGCACAAGATCTAGTATGAAGAAAAAACATGGTTGCAGAGACTTGCCTGTAACTCAGCTGCATGTACAGATTCTTGTTTCAATATAAGAAAACTGAATTAAAGCTTGAAGTCTAGTTTCCAATCTCTTCTGGAGGAAAGCAGCGAAGCACAGGAGAAAGACAAAGCTAAAGGGGTCAAAAATTCAGCATGATTTAGACACATTAATATTCTTACCTTTCTTCAGGAGAACATTTGCTTTCTCTACAGTTTCTACATTTCTGACTGTAAAAAAGAAAAATAAGAAATCATAAATACTTTCAAAAAAGGCAAGAAAACTTCACTGAACCCTATTATACAAAGATGTTACCGTAATTTTCAGTAGAAGAAGACTTCAAGATGCAGATTGCTAGCATCTGGTAGAGTACCAAGAACTTTCAAGTGAGAGGGAAACAGAGAAGAAGAGAGACACACACACAACACACACAGAGAGCTTTGCCTATCCCTAGATTTTCCTCTAAGCATCTCTTTCTGACAGGGACAAGACCCTGCATTAGGGTGGACTTTTTACTGGTGAGCAAACAAGCACTCCCTGTAGTCCACTCAGTCCTATATTAGAGTTTGCAAAATACTCAGAGACACCTTTTAGACAAGGATGTCGTGCAGGACAGTGTCAAATGCCTTGCATAAGTCCAGGTAGATATCTGTGGCTCTGCCCCCATCCACAAATTCAGTGGTCCCATGACAGAAGGCCACCAAATTCGTCAGGCATGACTTTCCCCTGGTAAAGTCATGTTGGTTATTACCAATCACCTCTTTACTTCTCATGTGCCTAAGCATAGCTTCCAGGAGAATCTGCTCCATGATCTTGCCAGGCACAGCGGTGAGACTGACTGACTGGTTCCCTGGTTCTTCTGCTTTCCCTTTTTTAAAAATGGGGGTTATGTTTCCCTTTTTCCAGGCATCAGGGACTTCACCTGACTTCAGAATTTCTGAAAAATTATAGACAGTGGCTTAGCAACTACATCAGCCAGTTCCCTTGGGACCAGAGGATGAATCTCATGAGGACCCATGAACTTATGCACATTCAGGTTCCTAAGATGGTCTCGAACTTGATACTCTTCTCTAGTGGGTTTAGGGGTTTCATCCTCCCAGTCTCTACCTTTACTCTTCTCGGTCTGGTCAGAAAGGTGAGAGCACTTGAAGACTGAGGAAAAGAAGTCATTAAGAACCTCAGCCTTTTCTATATCCAAGGTAGCCAGTTCTCCCATTTCCTTCTGGAGACGGCCGGAGTACCTCATCCAGAGATGAGATATTTCCTCTAGAAAAAGATTCCCAGTATGCTACCACACCAAAAGCACTCTAGAAAGAAGCAGAACAATCAACAGATACAAATGAGAAGATGGCTGTTTCTTGCCTTTAACAGGTCAATTGAATGTGCCAGGCTGAGAGGAATTAAAAAATCACATTTAATTCTATGATACTCTATTTTCATTATTAGGAATTGAAACACAGAAGACATCTCAATTAATTTTTCTGATACACAGTAATCACTGTCTTCTTGACACCAATTCTTCCCATTTCAGAAAGGCTCTGCCACAAAAGCATACACTAGACACTGAGTATGAGCAGCTCTTCAACATTTTGGAAGTAGTATATGCCTCATTTACTGCTCAGTTTTAAAACAAGAGAGAATCACAATGGCTTTCTGAGATGAAAGGCCCAATGAGGACTTGAACTAAAGGGAATTTATGAACAAACCTGATTTCCTCAACAAATTAGCAGGAAAAGTGAATTGGTAATAATTGCCTCAACTAAATTATATCCTGAAAAGGCCACTCTGTGCACTGAAGAAAGAATATTGCAAAAATTAGAATTAGTTGTAAATCAAAACAGCTATAATACAGATATGCAAGTCAATTGAATTAAGGTCGTCTGACAGTCTCATTCAAGGTATATTCTTGATTGTGCATCAGTAAACACTTTTTCAGGTTTGTTGCTTGGATATCTTAATGCTCTGTATAAGTAATTTAGCCAATGCATTTTCTCAGATGCTTTTATTTAACCTCTCGAACGCATGATGGGACTCATTCTATATGTATCTTACTTTTGCCTGAACCAAGTCCCTGGTTTCAGACATCATCCCACATGATAAATGGTGGGATTTTTTCTTAGTTTTAAACTTACTTGTAAAGAGTAGAAAGGATATAGTGTGGAGAATTGGTGCAACTTCCATCCAAGTTGAGCCAGTCCAAAGCTCCACAACTTAGAGTGCGTGGGGTTTCATTAATCTACAAAACACACAACGTAAGACAGGAAGAAAAAACATCATAGCAAGCCAGGAACTTCCCAGTTATCATTAATACTGCCACAGCTAACTACTGTGTGCAAAGCAGCATCATACCTCCCATGTGAATTATAATCTCACTTAAACTTCTGCTTAGTCTCTGATAATTAGCAAAATCACTAAGTATTTGTAACTGAGCACAAATCTTCTTGCAACTCTATTTTAATGCACTGCATGCTAATCAAGAAATCATGAACAAAACCAAATAGAACTTAAGCCCCTCATCTCAATTACAGAAGTGAGTACAAAAGGACAGTTGAGAGGAAAGTATAAAATGTTACTAAATGAAAATCCATTTTAAATGGTAGATTTTTGCCAGTATCAGTTGAAAAATATGGTTAACTCCTAAACCAGGAAATTTACATTCTTTAAGTTAGGGTTTTTATTTATATATGCCAGTACTTTTAAGAATTATCTAATTCTTTAAACATTATTAAACTAGCTGACCAAATAATATCTTACAGTAGTCAGTTCCTGAGCTTACCACCAAGAAATATTTTCTCTATTTCTCATGTATGTAACAATTAAGTGCTTTCAGAGACGACAACAACACTTAACCACTTAATCCCATAAATTTTCCATTTCTTCTAGTATACCTCATTCAAGACAGTGAAATGACAGAGAAAGATAATTCAGAAAATTATCAAATGTGGAAACATTCTTAACTGGTCTTTTCACTGTGGTATTCTGCCTTATTGTTTCAATCCCACTGTAGTCATGACTGGAAATAGGAAACACTAAATTATTCAAGGGATCTGCACCATCTTTTGCTAAGCACATCTGAAAGAAGTGCTAGCATCCTCCCACAAAAGGTTTAGTGTCCTTACAGACCATTAGATGGAGGAAATGAAGTAAGTGATTATGATGATGAGAAGAAATACTATCTTTATCACACTGGCTTTTAAGAAGGAAAAAAAATTAGGCAAATCAATGCAAAAATAGGAGAGAAAAATACAGGTTTTAGAACTTACTGATCTTCTTTGTCTTAAGATAGCAGCTTCTGCTGGGTGATTGAATCTAAATTTATGTGACCTGCCAAGGACAACAAGGGCCCCTGTGGAAAAAAAATAAAGACATCTATAGAGACATAATTAAACAAACTACTACAGAATAATGTGTTAAAAAAAAAAACCTAAAAAATTCTGACCAGCAGCTTTCTGACAGTCACAAAATAGAGAACTATTTTCAAAATGTGCCGCTATGGAATGGCAGAGTTATGATTCTGGAATGACAGCATCCAAGCAAACTAATCTTGGAGATCTCTGCAAGCTATTCCCTGGTCATATTAAAGATCAGCATGACTTCATATCAAAATTGTAACCAACCCACTTGTTTTTACAGACTTTTTAAGAATCCAGATCATCACAAATTCCCAGAAGCTGGATTGTTATTTTAAACAACCTGAAAATATGGGAGCCTGACCCATTTAATCTGAATTTATCCACCATAGCCTATAACTTAGTGGCTAGTACCCTCCACGTAAACAAGCTGTGAAAAAGCTGAAGATCATTTAAACCATATTATACATGTGCCAAAAAGCTCCACCAGTGGTCAGCTGGATTAGACCCAGTTTCCATTACTTTCCACATTAGTGCCTCTGACTACAGGTCTTCCCTCTTCAGAAGCCTACAGACGACTGTTGCCAAAAGAGGTCAGAATATTGTCAACAATATCTTAATTTTATTTTCTGTGAGGTACTTGATTCATTTGTCCTAATCTGGAAGCTCTAGCCATGGATCAAACCTTGTGGAACAAGGAGCAATAGGAGACTGAGAGATGTATTTCTTAGAGCTGCTCAAGTTCCATAAATTCTTGTCTCAAAACTCCAGTAGTAAGTTGATTATAATGCAAAATTCACAGTGAAGAACAAGCCTTACCTTGTGACAGACGGCACGATCCAGTCACCTCACATCCATTCACAGTGCAGCGTGCACCTTGAACTGGTTGCAGTGTCACAATCCCACAGTTATTGTCTATTGTACAGTGATTCCTTTCAATCCACTGCCCCTGCAAAACTACAGTATACAGATTTATCCCACCTGCTGAAGGGGCTGGGTTTGCACTATTTTCCTCAGAACAGACAACCACATGCTGTTTGACACTATGCATACTTCATACCCTAGAGAACAATGTCATGTGTAGAACAAGAAGATTAAATGGTCATCTTTGACTGCTAGTCAAGTACTTAATCACAGAAAAAAAACTTATTATCGAAACTCACTATTGAAAATAGTGAGATTTTACCTTTAAAGTATTTCTGGCTCTGGAAAACTATACATCACTTCCTCATTTGTGAGCTGATGTGAAAATTCTTCATTTGTGCTGAATTTTGTTAATGCAGTTATGGCATTTATTGTTTATATTTTACTAATTTACAGGCAGAAAATAATCAAATTTAACCAAGCTTAGGAAAACTTAACCAAAGTTCCACAAAGTTTCCAGTTTCAGTTCTTTATCATGATTTCCGGCTCTTGAGACTGACTTAAAATTAAGAACTATTCCAAATCATTTGGATTTTAGACATAAAATATCCTGTCAAATTAGAGTTGAAAAGCATTTTCAGTGTCTCATGATCACTTATGCCAGTAGTCTAGAATAGATCATACAAGGATTTGGATGTTGGATGAAGGTATTTCTAAACTCCAGTGTAGCATTTCACAAGTGGGAAGAAAATTCTGAAGAGAACTCAGTTAGGTCAAGACCACTGACTTTCTGACCTCTTAAACAAAAAATAACCAAAATATTTTAGTCAACTTAAATAATTAGACTCTTCTACTTACCTTATTCTATAAAGAAAGCTGATAAACAGAAACATTATAAAGCTATTACACATGACACATATAAACCTCTTGGTTTGAACTGACCATATCATAAAATAATTTGTAATATCATTCTCTTACCAATGTCTTGATCTTGGTCTGAATCACTTCTTCCAATTTTGGTTGTTCCTTCCTAAAACAAGAAAAGAACTCATTTAAAAGTGGGTTACAAAAAGTGGACGATATATAATAAAAACTCTTTGATACATCATCTTAGTAACCAGCTGAAATAAATTGCCTCTGAATGACTGAATTGTTTGAAGCAAACACTATGTACTTTGCAATACTTTAGTCTGCTGTCCCCCAAAGCATTGCAATTACTTCCCATCTTGCAGCTATGTCAGCATCTCCTCTTAAGACTGCTGTAGATGGAGTAATCCTCAGTGGATGATTTTTGGACTGTGTTTGAGACAAATATTTTGAATATGAACACATGTTCTGATGCTTTGAACTTTTACAGTGAGACATGATGTTTTCAGAAATGAGATAATTCTTTTTACGAATATCTATGCAGAAAGAAGCTGCAAAATGATTATTCACTTAACAAGGCTTTTCAGATATAAAAGTAACCAAATTCCTTCTCCATCATAGATTATGAATTCTTCAAACTAACTACTAAAGAAGAAATTTTTTTCTGCAAATTAAATTACATTTATGAAAAGTCTCGGTGCTTATGGCAGACAGACAAGTTCCCCAACTTGAAGATTCAGTAACTTCAAAGAATAGAACTGCCTAGGAACAAATATCTCCTGAACAAGCAGACTCAAACCATATTATGGGCCAGTGATGAAAGGGAGACAGTATTCTTACGGTGTACTGCAAATACCAATAAAAAAACCTAATTTAATCAATACCTTGGGGAAAAAAATCTACCAAAAAAGAGAAAATTAATATACCATATCTGTCCATCTAGTATTTTTCATTACCTGTTCTATATTTTTTCCTAGGAAAACAAAGCAAGATAATTTCCCAGTTCTGAAGATATGCTACACTTGGTTATGGCAAACTTATTAGTAAATCCACTCTAAGACTACTTTAGAGGCAATCTTTTAGTTATATTAAAAATAATTATGGACAACAAACTATGTGATTTTTATGTGCTGAATATGCTCTCTGCATATTGGACCCTAGATTTAAAGGTGAAGCAGGAAGTAGTAATCAGAAGCCTGAAGACTGGGAAAATGGAAGCTGTGCACTAGTTTAAGATGATGCAGTTATGGGTAATTATGGGTAAATCACAGTGGGTTTGTGCACTGGAGGGAACGGGAATGATTATCATGCAGCTCCTCACAGAACTCAGCTATCTGAACCAACTCACAGACCCCTCTGGTTCAAGCCCTGCTGAGACTTTCCTTGCTAGAGACGCTGAAAGCTGGATTAGCCCAGTGCCCCTGCTTTGGAGTAACTACCGAGTTACATGCCAGTTTAATGTGCAGTGGACTCAGCCACAAAATATCCACCTGGATTTGCCACAACTTGTAGAAAATTTATGATCCATATGGCCTTTGCCTCACTTCACACAATCAAGTGAGTTAGCAACAAAAATTTTATACAAGAGAAGTAATCCAACTCCTAAAAGATCTATCAATTTTCATTTTCACTAAGCAAATAGTTATTGTAATCCTAAAAGAATTTTTTTACAATACACTGAAATAACTCTACAATTAATAACTGTAATACAGTTTAATTCAGAAAAGCATATTACAGCAGTATTGGCTCATGAAATACACAATAGTCTCCCAGTTGGCGGAGTGGCTCTGAGTGAATTTAAATCAAACTAAAAACTGCAGATAAGAACAAGGGTACAGATATAATACAAACAAAGCAACTCAATATGAGAAAACAAAACAAAAATAGCCATAACCCAGGCCAATGTTGGTTTCATTCTTTTTAAATGCTATTACTAAGCTAATAATTTAAATATTTATACTCTTTCCAAATTTAATATTGTGTATTCTACCTGAAAAAGTGAAAGATGTTTCAGATTAAATGATTGCAGAACTAGATCTTAACATATTGAGGTACATCTTCACATCTGCTGAAGTGCTTTTACACTGTTATCTTCTTTGGCTGTGTCTGATGACTAAGGGTAGAATTCCCAAGGTGCATTACAAAACCATAAAGAGTGAGATTGTTTCCCCCCTTCACTTTTGTGAGTATTCCAACTTTCAAAACAGTTTGTGAAGTACATCTTCTACTAGAACAATATAAACAAATCATATATTTTTACGCTATGCAAAAAAGGTCAGTTAAATTATAGGAAAATGTTAATGAAAACCAGAATATTAAGCATAGGCACAGCATTGATCAGTGCAATTAATACTATGGAATATCAAGAGACTAGAAGAGTAATACAATATTTATTCTACATGATGTGAAAAGTGCTGCCATAACCTCTCGCTAGAAGTGCAATGTAAAGTGCTGCTATATGTTGAAGCCCTAATATGTACAGAACCGCTAATGTTTTACCTTCTTGCTGTTCAGATGAAGGTAACAGACACCAGAGACTAAAAGGTGTAAAGCACAAAGAAAAGAAAAGGCAGCATCTAGGAGCAAAGAAAGAAGGGACAAAGATGTTAGTGTGACAGAGAGACACGAATGATTTCAGGTGACCCTTCAAACCAGGTTACTCCACTAAAATGAATATATATAGGTGTTGTCAAAATTAATATGGGGAAATATTTGGTGTTTCCAAAATGGCACATAATAGAAAAACATTTAACTAGTAGCAATTGCTTCTAATAAATATTATTATTATTAAATAAATAACATTTAATGTTAATATAGAGTTGAGTAGTTAAAGCTGTATGTCGATCAGCACTAGATGTCATTACTTGGCCCCTAATTATTACCTGGTACAATTTCTTTGTGTTGGCATGAGAAAAATTACCTTTCTCTTTCAACATGATAGTAGAACATCATGATTTCTGTTTTAAATATTTGTTGTGGGTTTTAGCAGGAGTAAAAGAAAAATCCTGAGTCCCTAAACTATATCAATTACCACAAACCCTAGATTTGGATAAAGATTTTTTCATTAGTAGCAGACACATGATTTCCAACCATATTTAACATGTTTTGATAATGAGTGCATCTCATGAGGTACCATCATTCCTTTCACATTAAATAGCATCAATATTTCAGGAATTTCCATTCATTTAAACAACATTAAAAAGTTAAAGTCCAGCTTAGCACTGACTTACTAAAAAAAAAAAAAAAAATCCCCTAAAACTATTTGATCTAGCCATGCACATCATAAGATGCAACGTGGAGTAATAGACACATAATATTATGAACATTTCTTGGCAAAAACCTTGCTTTAAACGAGCAGCTACACAGCAAAATAATATGTGTGAGGCCAGGATTTCTACCTTATTTTCAAAAGTAGGCAATCAAGTGGGATCACAAGGAGTTAGCCTTCATGCTACACCCCTGGAATCTATTTGGCAGACTTGGTAGTGTTAAAAGCAATATACAGAAGTCATTGCCAAAGTGACCTTGTGTTTGTTAAAGCTTTGTAAAGGAGAAGTCATTGCCAAAGTGACCTTGTGTCTGTTAAAGCTTACATTTATCTGTACATATACAAGTATTCCATTCTTAAGTATACAAATATTTAATAAAAGGTGGACCAGTATGTCTGGTATACTTTAAGCACCATCCTTTATGTTTACACACAACTATTGTCATGCTTTGTGGACAAACTATTTGAGTATTTTGCTTTACTTACGATACATTAGCAAATGGTTTACACATACATTCATAAGAGGCCAATGTATGTTCTTATATGAATATAAGGACAATTCATATATGAATTCTTATCCTCCTCCATTTTCATGTGTTCTTGCCTGATTTTCCCTCCATTTTATGTGTCTTGTGATCTGTGACCTTTACTTTTTGATACCTGTAGTTGTAACGCCACCCTAACCACTCTCCATTTCCAAAGAAAACAAATGTTTTCAAATTAAACGGAAAAATAAGACAAGTGACAATATCTCACCCTGAGGTGATACAGCACAACTCCTGTGCTGAGGATATCATCATCCACAGCCATCAGATGAGGTAAATTAGAATCTATTGTTACTCCAGCTTTTTCTTTGTTGATGTCCACACTGTATTCTTCCATGATGGCTTTCCTGTCTGCCCACTTACTTGTCCAGTCTTTGGTCAATTGCTCAATCTTGAAGAAAGAGAGAGGAAACAATCTCACTTACTAAGGTGGTTAACATTTCTCATAGATAAATTTCTCCAGAAAGAACTGTATTTTTTTCCAGTTACACCAGTTGTATTGCAGATGTATTTCTAATTGCAGTATATTTCTGTGGCAACAAAAAATTGGGTTAAAACAGTATTACCAGCTAGTGAAGCAGGTTTAATCTGTTGGAGACTCATTCCCGGAATGTCAGAAAGAGGTATGATCATGCTAACAAGATATTTTGCCTGTCTTTGCACAAAGCTTAAACTTAAGGTCTCCAAAACATTTCTAGGTTACCAGTGATCAAGTGTTCTTAGTCATTTTGGCAATTGCACAATAATTTCATTTGAATAAATTGGAGGAGTTTAATCTTAGAAGGGACAGACTCTGTATAATGAATTACTGTGAAATACTGAGACAGCTTTCAAATGAGGAGTAGATTGTGCAGGCTTATTGAAACACAATGGAATGTGTCCCATTAAGGACACAAGACTTTCATTACAAATTGGTAGAGGACACTCAACATGCATTCAGGATGGCAGTTTCCTGCATCTTCAGAGCAAAAAAGGAAATGATTAAGACAGAAATACTTCTACTAAAGCTAGACCCTCGGCCTAGTGAAACAGGAGACAGTCACAGCATCAAATAAATCATACACACCTTCATTTCATTCTGAAGAACCAGCTCAGTCAGATTTCCATTCCTGTCATCACTCCAAGAGGGACTGGAATTCCTCTGTACAAACAACAGCCACAAAGATCCATGTTTCCTTATTCACAACTGGCAGGCATGTTCTTTCACTTGCCAGCATTTCAGTGATGAAGCCAGGAGAAAGAAAGACAAAATACACATGCTGCCTTCTAGTAAGATGCCTGCTAGCATCTACCCTACATCTCTCTGGCTATTGCATGCATTTATTTATTTATTTTAAATGGTGAAAAAGCAATAACAGTGACACTTTTGTGTAAATAAATCCTGGATTGTAGCTCCTGTCTCTCCCAGCAAAATATTCTCTCCATGGCATGGAAACCCAAGACGCTATTATTATTCCAAAGGAGAAAAACATCAGGGATGTCAGCTGTACTATGAGGGTTCACAGATGTTCACAACTTCTTTTGGGGAATAGAGTGTGCAGGCAGGGTGAAACCTCCAAAATACTTCTGAGGTCACTGGTTCACAAGTCTGGCAGGGAAATTACACCTACGGTTAATATTTTATACTGTCTTGGTGCTTCCATATCCCCATATATAAAATATTTCTATTTCACAGTACTTCTGGACTGCAAAGCCATACAACTCCATGAAAGACAGGCAAGGAAATTCTTTTGAATCATTACATGACTGTTTATACTACAAGTTCATCAATATAATAACAGAAAAAGAAGTGACAGAAATGCAGTTAACCTTATAATAATTGCAAAATCACCCACAGAACAGTTTAATTTCCTTCGAGTTATAATAAACATGGAAAGATTAACAGATAAGATGAAAGTAAAGCAACAGAAAAGCTCCAGTAGGGAAGTGTTGCTACATACCAGTTCAAAGCTCAACAGCATAGTTTTCAGCCTATCGATTTCTTCTCGCAGTTCTCTGATCAGTTTCACATTTGCATCCTGAAACATTGAGACACAAACCACTGGAAAAATCATTCTGGAAAAAACTTTAGATAAAGAAATCAATGCAGAGATGCTCCAAGAGCCAGGAGGAGAGGAGAACAGGCACACTCACAGCAGCAGTCCTTGCTTCACTCTGCCAGGCCCCTGGAATGTACTGCCTAGGGGCCCAGTGGTTCCCCAACTTCAGTAGGGTCTCATTTCCCACAGCGTTTCAACCTCTTTTGAACACAGACCTACTATAGTACTTGTTCCATCACGACTAGCTGGATATATCACTGCTTTTAAGGATTTATCTTCCAAATAGTTACATTAGGTCAGAAAAATGCTATTGTATAGAATTAGACTAGAGTCATCTAAGTCAGAATGTCATCAAGGAGGGTATTAAAAGCCCTTGCAGCTGATACAGAAAGCATTTCCTGCGTGCTTGTGTGGAGGCATTTATCTGACTTTCAGAGTAAGCACCTCTGCACTGGCAGTTTCTGGAATCAACTTTTTACAGACAGTTCAGGGAAACTCCTGAGTCAAGAATCAACTATCTCTGGGCTGCCCATGACACTTTGGCTCAGGTCAATTTGCAGAGAGTGGAAGAAGACTGAAGGGGTGGGGTTAAAGGTCTAGCATGGGCTGGGCAAGAGAGTGATGGGCATGCAAGTTGAGAGGCTGAGAGCATGTACGTAACAAGAGGCTCATGTAGGAGGACTGCTGACTTGACTTTGGCCTGTCAAAGTTGAGAACTGCTGTTGACAAAACCAGGCACACTATTGCTGCTGCTACTGATGTCTGAAAACTAGTTATAGGCACTGGTAATACAGATGAAAATTACATTTGGGAAACCCAGGATTAGAAGGATTAGAAGGGTTTCCTTCTGCTCAGATTTAACTTATGTGTTAGGAAAACACATAAGTACATCTCTGAGATTCTATCCTTTTCTCAACATAAAACATTTTGATACACTCAGCCCAAATCACAAAAGAATAATACTAAAGCTGTAAAGTTAGTGACTGAAAGATTAGGAAAGGCTGGAATCAAGGCTAATTTTTTTAAACCTAAATTCAGCTGATATCCCTTAAATGGATACATCATGATTCAGTCCTCAATTTATGTCATCATATGCAGCATCATGCAGAATGCCAGGTGAGGAATGCTCAATTAAGGAGAAGCAATTCAAGAGTTTTATAGACCTAGCATATGTGATTGTAGATCCTGATTACTATGGGCTACTTGAATTTCCCTGTGAAGACAGACAGAATTATGCATTTCCCCATGGATTAATTTTCATTCTGGTTCTCATCACTATAGTGTCTAAAACCTCCACAAGTGCCTAAAACCTTCACAACTGCTATCAGTTTGTTTTAGCAGCATCTCTTTGTTTGGGAGAGTTTATGCTTTTCTTGTTTGATAAATGTGGACTGGGGGTAAGGGTGGAAAATGAGAAAAAAACACACACTGAAAGTTTGCTTTAACCATCTAGACTAACATTGAACAATAAATGCTGTAGCAGGAGCAGAAACAGAATCCTTCAAGGCAGCATCTGACTCTCTCCTTAATAATCTGCTATCATTTACTTTGTGCAGCCTGTGAAAGATTCCTGCACAACCGAACAGATGAAACCGTCATACATCCAGAATTCATACCTGGAACAGGCCTATTTTATGCAATGAATGAACATGGGATTTTGTGGCCAAAATTATTCACATGTATTTAAAGGCTTCATTATTTTTTGCACTGAAGACAAATTGAGACTACATAGTTTACCTTAGGCCTGGCATATTAACATTTGAATTCTTGACTGAAACTTTGTGAAGTGTTCATTTAACTTGCCAAAAAGGTTGCAAGGGTTATGCACTTACTGTAACATGTTAAATAGTAACAAATAATCCTAACAGACCTGTAACTCTACCAATATTTAGGGTAAAGACATAAATTAAACATACATGTCATAACAATTCAAAGAGAAGGAAAATTGAAATTCAATGGACAGAGATGAAGAATATAAAATAGGTGTGAAATTCTAGATGGTTTAATCTGTGGGGGAGCAAGGAAATTATTTGTTATATCCAGGTTTCATTTTAGCTCTCATTAACATGGAAGAAAGGAAGGAAGGACTTTATAGAGCAGATATTGTGAATAAACCTTAAACAATACATGCAACAAAATGGGACAAGAATTAAAAGCAGAACTCAAGGCCTCACCTCATTCACTCTGGGCTTGTTAATAATATTTTTGGCATTTGAAGCATATCTCAAGGTACTCATGGTCTCATTGTAGCTGGAGCTGGCAGGAGAGATAGCTACAGACAGAATAAAAATGGAAAAGAAAGCCTGTTTTAAAAAGTAATCAGTTTTACTCATCGCTCTTCAAAATTTTGTTCTGTTCTTGCTTCTTTCAAAACCAAACCCAAAAATATCCTTAGGGTTATTTCATTAAACTAACAGAGAATGTAATCTCGAGATTGCACTTATAACTGAATAAATCACTTCAAATCAAAGCTATGACCTTGGAAAGACTCCTGAACTTAACTTCATGTACAATCAGCATGCCTTTTCATTTCCTTGAGTATTCTATGAAGTATGTATGAAAATCTTTACAAGGACAGATTCCAAGTGATACAGCTGTCTTCTCACTGCAGTAGAGATGCATATTAAAGGTGCAATGTAGTGCAAAATGTTATCAATCAACAGAAACCAAACTCACTGGCAATCATAATGGTTTTGGAGTTGCCCCCCAGACTGTCCTTCAGAAGCCAGGTGAGGATGGAGTCACGGTATGGGATGTAGGCTGGTCGTCTGGTCCCACTGGTGCTGTCGGTGGAAGGACTGTCTGCATGACTGCTCTCCCCTTCACTTGCTATGCTGTTAATGCTCTGGCAGCTGCTGGACATCTGAGAATTTTGTGCTGAAGGGGAAATATCACAGAGCTCAGGAAAGGGATTATCTTTTTCTGTCATGGCCATTTAATTTTCTCAGATGTCATTACAGCACACACCACTCAGCTGCTCTGTTCAGCTTTTTGTTGTACCATGTAAATAAACATTAAAACACAACACATGATGAGCAAGCTGTATGCTTTTATCACTACCCTTCAATATAAAGAACTAATGTGCTTACCTAAAGTGGATATGACAATTCCAAGAGTAACTAATGACTTGTTAATGTTGGCACCTTCAGTAATTCTATCTTTACAGTAACTGGGATCAGCTCTTTCACTGTAGTATGCAATGATGGAAAAGACAATGCAAAATAAACAAAAATGCTTAATTATTAACATACAGTCAATATTAAAATATTACGTATTTTCCTGAAATACAAGAAAACAGAAATTAACCGCTTTGCAATTAAAAACCTGTATGCTTTGAATACTTCATATTGTTCAGAAAGACCAAGCAACCAAGAGCAAAGGACATTGATGCAAGATACTGTTAAAGACTCATCAATACAGAAATTCAAGTCTGAATTGGGCAAACCAGTCATAATGGTTCTGAATTAAAAAAAGCAACATCCATTTCATAACTCTGCTAGGATAGACTGACTCAGTATAAAAGTCTGTTCATCCCCTCAATACTCCTTTCTCTGCTCATACCTGCGTGGACATTCACATTCTTGAGAAAAAAATGTTTCATTCTCTAACTGTTCTATAACTCTTCAGCATGACTTCCATCTTTCTGTTCTCTGTCACATCCAGCACAACCACGTGTTCCTCACTGAAATGCATAGCTGAGATCAGAGACTCAGAAACTTTTGGAACATGAACAACATAAACAGTGAGATATGACTACTTTCTCCCACTCGTGCTAGGCAGCCATGAGGAATACATTCCTTATTTTCCCTCTCTTTTCAAGTTCAGATGCAATAATTCATACAATAGCTACTGGAAAAGTCACTTAATAAGAATACAGCGTTGAATGAAATTGCCTTAAATATATGTAACATACAGTATTGGACCTGAGGACCCAGGAATTCCCTTCCCCAATGAAAACCCACTCCCAGTTACAGAAGAACAGATAACAAAGACAATATTAGCTTAATATTCTTTGTTACTGTGTAAGAAAAGCAGGCTTACTGTTAGTTCAGTGATATTTTAAATCATTAAATTTAATCTTTTAAGGCAGTACTACCAGAATCTTCAGAGAAAATTACCTCTTTGCCCCTCTGGATATTATTACCTGCCTGCAAGGTCCACTAAGTTGATCTTGCTTGAAATTTCAGAGGGGAGATTGTTCTCCAATATAGCCTGAAGAGAAAAACATAAATAAGAGAGATTATTCCTCTTAATTAATTAATGAAAATAAAATTGATATGCTTTTTTTTTTTGAAACTGAGTTATATGTATGACTGTCTCACTGCCTTTCTTTGTGACCTTGACCCTCTGACTATGTTCAAGCCATTAACTCAAAAGCTTTCTCACCCGACAGAGAAACTACCCTCTAATGACAATTTCCTCTTGAAAAAAATCCTTTACTGCCTAGCGACTGTGAAAAGCTTTCTTGTAGATCTTGCAGTGTTATTTCCCACTAATGTAATCCAAAGGTCTTTTGTGAAACTACAGAAAAGTATCCCAAAATGTTCTATGATTACAGGATGTTAGAAGTGTGAGATAGAAAAGGTCTATTGGATCACTGAATGACTTCCCTGCCAGGGAAGGATATAATTCCTCCAGAGAAAGAGTGCATTGTCTCTAGGACAGAACTGGATGCCAAATGTTACAGAGATGAGCACATCTAAAAAGCTGGATAGATACAAAATTTCAGTGTTAAACTAATGCTATACCTAATTAAGGGTCATAAACAAGTGTGACAAAATGCAACTTCAAATATATTCACACAAAATTTTCATACCATCTTAGAAGGGGCACTGCATTTCAAAGGGCTGATTAAAACTCGAAACATTTCTTTTTAGAGTGAGTCTTTGGCATCACTTCTGACTGTAAGCTTGCACAAAGGAACAGAATACTTCAGTAAGCACTAAACACATCAGGCTGTGTAGGAAGTGTAACACATCTGCAGTGTGATCCAAAGGAAATAAGCAACAGCTTTCACAGAGACTATTCCAAACAGCACAAAACAGTGACAAGTAAACAATGTACAACACAGTGAACAATGATTTTGAGACTGAAAAAGGAAGTTGGATTATTTTTAGCTAACCTGAGTGTAGTGGATGGTGAAGATAGCATGGGATCTGCTGCTGGCATTGTGAATATGCGTAGCTGCTGTGATTCTAGAAAGAACAAACATTCAGTTACAAAGGCTTATTTCCCTGTATTCAGGGAAAGCAAACACATCAGACAAATGAAGATGATGGAATATGAAACTTGGAGAATATGGTAGGTTGCATACTTGGATCCAACCACAGATTGGCACAGAACCTGGAAGGGTGGAAACCAAGGATCAGTTGAAGGTGTTTTTGTCCACCCCCACTCTGAAGAAATATCTTAAAACAGCCTTACAGCACAGGTGTAAGGTGTTGCATAACCACAGAACATAGCAGAGAAGTACAGCCAACAACAGCGCCAACAGCTCACTGCCAACACCACTGAATGCACCAGCCCAGCACTTTTTCTCCATAGTCTCCTTTTTTTTTTCTTGGCACTTTCAAAGGGTCCAAAAAGTTTCATACACCACTTCTGGGACTCATTTATGTCCCAGCACTGATACAATAGTTTTACACTGTTAGAGAGTCCAGTGAGTACCCACATGAGTACTGAATGAATACTGTAATTCACTGTGCGGCACTTGCTTGGCTTTACCATGTGAACAGAATGGTCATAGGGCTCTAGTGCTCTGACCCAATGCACTCTGGCAAGCAGGTACCAGGTGAAAGTTTGGAAATTCTAATTTCTTTGTTGCTATTTTGATTAGACAGACCCCAAGAAGTAGTATTTTGCCTAGGGCAGAAGTCAGGTCACAGGTCCTCTCCTTTGTCACTCTTGTAGCTTGAGTATTAGCTATATGTGCAGCCTTAAGCATCAGTTTTGCCAAGCCTACCCACAACAACATTGCTAATTCTAGCAGTGTAGACAAGGACTGTGGTACCATGCTTTTGTTACGAGCCCAGCTGTCAGAGTACTGCAGAAACCAGTTGCATTAGAGAGCAGAGATCCACAGCCATGCCTAAGCCACTGAGTGCCCAGCACATGAGGACAAAGTCAGGACTCTCCTGCCTGTTGTTCTCTCCTTCCTACACCTCCACAGCCGTGTAAGTGGGCACAGCCAAAAGCCTAGCGCATAACAGTTATAAGTGAGCCTAAGTTGAGGCAGCAGGAGAATGTGAACTAGTCCCCAGATGGTGGAGGAGGAACACAAACAATTAGTAAAGGGTAGATGACAGAAAACAGCTGGGTAGAGAATATAAGGGAACAGCACCGAAGTTTATAATGCAAAAGAGAAAAAGAAAGTGCCCCAGGATTTGGAGAAGGAAATGTTAGTGCTCCTCATGTCCGACAATACACAAGACAACTGGAAGGCAAGTTCACAACTCATGAGAACATTTTTATGGGAGAATACACGTGTTAGTTTTTCATATATTCTATTGCATCACGGCGTGTGGCGTACATTTTAATATTTTTAACTGCTCCAACAGTTATCTAGATTCATTAGTTGTTTTGCTTTACACAGCACTAGGGCTATCCTTTTAGAAATTGGTATTTCCTATATTATAAAAACATTAATCTTAAATATTTGAGACTGTCTTGCAAAGTGTCAAAAGAAAATAGCACTGAGTTACAACAAAAATAATGATTGCATGTTGAAAATCATATTTGTTTATCTTATGATAGGCAGGTGGAGCCAAGCAGGTGTGGAGATGTCCTGATAAAACCAACTGAAAATGCCTTCAATAAACTCTGCTTGTTGTTAGTACAGAGGTTACCCTCCACCCCATAAAAGGCACCATCCATGTGCAAGGGGAGCTGCCCCTCCTATCTTTCCTGTCTCCACCCAAAGGAGGCAATTGCAACCTGTTCACCACTTTCTTTATCCCTAAGATCTTGCTGAGGTTAATTTGACATAATTTTCCAGACTGAAGATGTTTTAAATTAGTTCATTTGCATTTATAATGTACTAATAAATAGTCTGCAGAATATTTTGTAAAAATAAAGACTACAGGAGTTTCCTGTATATTTCAAAGATGTTTTTGAAAAAATATCCAGAAAGAAGTGTTACTTTGTTTCATGTAAGTGACAAAGTTTGAAACTTCAGCATCACAAAAACTTCCACACAAAATATTAACCTCTGATTTTGTTTTCTTTAAACCTTCTATTTCCTCAGCAATGAGACAACTGTGGGATTACAAATAAAGACTACAGGAGTTTCCTGTATATTTCAAAGATGTTTTTGAAAAAATATCCAGAAAGAAGTGTTACTTTGTTTCATGTAAGTGACAAAGTTTGAAACTTCAGCATCACAAAAACTTCCACACAAAATATTAACCTCTGATTTTGTTTTCTTTAAACCTTCTATTTCCTCAGCAATGAGACAACTGTGGGATTACACTGGTAATCCTTCTATTTCCTCAGCAATGAGACAACCATGGGATTAGACTGGTAATCAGTCTGGAATTTTGCTGTTCTGAAAAATTCTCTTCTTACTGTAGAGTTGCATCTATTATCGCTATAAGCAAAAGCAGCAAAACGTAATCCTGATGTATATTCTATGTTTTTTGTGATAATGCAGCTTAATTTTTATTTACTTCCCAGCATCACTGACACTCTAAAATCTTGACCATTCTTATGATAAGACTTAACATCAATTTTGGAACTGTGATTTGCATTTGGAGGATCCTTTCAAATAGAACTCTTTTCCATTGCTGTAGTGGCAGTTATAAAGATATCCAAGGCTTCCTGTCAAAAAGGTAAAGAAGTGTCTTGCCTAACCAGAGCCAAAATCATTGTCCTCACTGGTGTGCCAATTCCTGCAGCTCTTTCATAACAAGCATGCATGATTTGGGCTAAGAACTTACAAAATACTTACAAAAAGTAAGACAAATAATTATCAACCAAATACTTATAGAAATTAAATAAATATGCACTGTACCTTCAGCAATTTTAAATCACTACATTACACTAACAAGCTAGTTGAAAGCTATACAGTCTAAAGTGTCATGAGCAAGTGAAGAGGAAAAATGGAAGTCTGTTTACAGAAAAATGTTTTCTTGGCTTGCATTTTTTATAACAGATGGCTGAATTTTGTGGGTAAGTCATCATGGGATCAGTTTTGAAGAAACAACTTCATGAGTGCTTGTAGCTCTTACTGGGGATAATATGAGGATACATAACATCTTATGTGAATGTCCTGTGCTGGATCAGCAAACCTGACATCCTGTCATGACAAAGCACTGGCAACACTGTCAGTAAAGCAAACATAAATGAAATCAACACACCATGAAAGAAGTGTTAAATGCAGATGAAGCTGGTTTGTTTTATAAAATACCTTTTAGCTATTCCTTCTTCTAGAAGTTTTACAACTTGCTTGTAGTCTGTAACTAAATGCTGAGTCAATCCTGCCAAAGATTTAAGAAGAGTTAAATGCATAACTTTCTCAGGAAGTTTCAGCCAGTTTATCAAACCATTTACTCAACATCAGGAGCAAAAGAATGTTCTGCTGAGATGCAAGTCTATTCTACAAGTAGTCTCTCAACCAGAGTAACTTTTATTTTAAAAAACAACCCCAACTATTTTATTTTTTAAAAATAACGTAAAAAACTGCAGTCCATTCTTCAGATGCTGTGACACCAGTACAAAAAATGCCTCACTCCTTCAAAGTGCAACTTGTCTGCAGAACAATAGTATTTAAAAAATAGCAGAACTCCAACTCCATAATAAATTTTCAGCTATGTCACTGCTACTAATTGGGTACAGATCCTGTAAAGAAGCTTTTGGCCACTTTTCTCCTCAGAGGGTTTTTGAGGGATCTCAAAAACATTATATGAAATTATACCAAAATGATATGAAACATCTGGCCTTTTCTTATTGTCTGCTTTCAGTTTGTTTGTTGGTTGTTTGGGGGGATTTTTGGTGGAGTTTTTTGTTGTATGTGTGTATGCGTTTTTGTTTGTTTTGTTTTAAAATTTGATTTGATTTGTAAGCAGGGGAAAAGCCCTTAAACAAACGGAAGAAATGCTGCCTTCAGAGCCTCCTGTGTCAGAGGGGCAGTCATGAGGACGTGGGTCCCAGTGGAGGGCAGTGTGCTGCTGTGCTGTACGGCACTGCCAGCTCCTTGCAAAATGCAAATTCCAGCAGACATACGAAATTACCCGCAACAGGCTTGTACTTCCCATAAAGCCAGTTTAATACGCATAATTTACATTTTATGGTGATGATTATTTATCATTTGTACTGCAGTGACTACTTAAAACACACCTGAGTTGTGAATTGAGTCTTGCGTCATACAATGCCTAGTAAAACACACCTGTGCAGAATGTTTTATCTCCCAGCTGGAATCCAGGGCAACTTCCTACCCCTGAACAGATTTAGGTTTGGATTGTTTTATTACAGACCACAAAAGTGTGGGTGAAGACAAGGCGCTTAAAAACATTGATATATTTGGATCGAATAATTTATCTACTGCTAGAAGGTAAGTCAAGACTAATATTAAACTCAACAAGACTGAAATAAGTACTTCTACCATTGTTAGAGTCTACCCTTAAAGGATAACAGCTTGCTTAACTTTAAGAGAAATAAAAATCTAAGCCAAAGATGGGAATTTACTTTAGTCCTCCAACAATTGGTACACAAAAAGAAAAAAAAGATTTTTGGTGGCCCACACTTTTAATAAAACCCTAAATGCAGTGTGCGTGCATGCACACTCACACACACGCCAAGTATAGGGTGATTATCAAACAAAAGTATTTCTTCTGCTCTCTAGTGTCTCTTTACAATACACTAATTCAAGCAGTCATCATATTTTCCATTTGAGAAAGAAGCCCACTATTTTTCCAGCACCACTGTGTTCTTCAAAGCTCAGTACATGGAAACTATCATATATTGTTTTCCCAGACCCTTTTTCAGGGTCTTATTTAACTGCATAAAAATCCAGTTATAAAATGGAGGCATGGAAGAAATTCTTACCTGCATACATTTTCATAAGCACTGGAATAGTGAATCTAGTACAGAGTTCAAAACATTTAAGCTTTTTAATAAGGTAAATGAAATATTATAAATGTTGCTTGAAAAGAAATGATGAAGTGTTCTATTGGCTGCTAGAAAAAGAATGGTCATTTTCAAGTCCCGTGGAAAGATCAAAAACACTTGTTCATCTAGAAATCTACCTTGGAGTAAGAAAAGATCTCCCCCAGAAATCTGTCTCAGTGTAATAAAACAGATTGCATCATTTCCTGATTTAAGAGAGGCTGAGGCCTTAACAGTGCAACAATCTGTGAGGGAGAAGTTTGAAACAATTCCAATCCAAAGCACAGAAACACTTTCAGCATTTTAAAGGCTACAATCTCTCAGCTTTTATGCGGAAAAACGATGGGCTGGAAACTATTCAAAATACTTAGTGTTCAGAGCTGAGACTTCCTGACTCGACTTGCAAATAGAAAATGCATTTCCCAGAACATCCAAGCATCCTTAAAGTGGTTTTCTGATTTTCCTGTGTTTCATCCACTGCTAATTGCACTCTGGACATTGACAGCAAACACATAACTGACAAACTAATGGTACACTGGGGAGCTCTTGATCAAAGTTAGCAAACCTTAAAATTGTTGATTGCTTGAAAGAAGTATGATGTAAATATAGATGCTAATCCTTAACTTCTTTGATCTATGGAAAATAATGGACTATTTCTCAGCTTTGCTGATGTTCACCATTTTATTTCTCCCATACAGCAAATTGCCTGGAAGATAAACACAAAACAAGCTGCCCATCTAGTAAACTTTCTGCTAATTTTGCTCTCAGCCATCTACTATTGGAAATAATACTCTTGCACTCTGATCCTGCAAAAGAGACCACATATAAAATTGCCAGACTACTTCAGCACACAGAAGTCTTCATTACAGAGCTCAGCAATTGTTGATTGCAGCAATATATTACTGCAGTTGAGAAGGGTATTTTGTACCATTGTTGTGAATCTCTTCATTTTCTTGAATTTGATCTAATTAAAATCAAGCTGACTGTACTCCTCACCTGCATTCAAAAGACCTCTGGACTTTGTCACTGCTGCTTGTTTTTAATGTGAGCTAATGAATGCAGTTCCAAAAGGAGCTATCACACCTTCTTTATTAGTCCTTCTCCCCAACAGACAACAGGGCTGTCTCAAGTAAAGGAAATTGTCACAGTTCTTAATTGCATAAATTGTACATAGGCAAACATATTAATTAATATGTATTTATATACACACTATATACACAAAAAAGAACTATGCCATCTGTTGCCACAAGCCACTGACCCATCAGCCTGAAATCACTTCTGTTCACATGCTCCCAAAACAGTATCTAATTACACTCCATGATGCCTTTAGCCGAGAAATTACTTCATTTTTCATGCATGTGATCAGTTTTTCTAAGGATGCAAATCACATTTATTATTAAAATCAAAATTTTTCTTACAGATATTAACACAAAGATTTTTTTGAGCCTGTCATAAGATACACATGGAGAGAATATTATAAAATAAATTATTCATACTGAATTTACAACTGTGGCCAAAAGTGGCAAATATTATTTAGGTTAGTCTTTTGTCATTATCTTTTCCTCTTAGTTTACAAAATATATTCAAGTGAGAACTTTTATGGCATATGTCAGAATCGTTCCACTCAAAATTTTTGGTTTTTTTCTAAGTATAAAACCCATATTCAAAAGTGGCAAATTAAAAAAATAAGGCAAGCAAAAAAAAAAAACCATCAAAAAAACCCACAACAGCCAAACTCCCCCAAAACAACAACAAACCAAGTCACAACAGAACTGAAAAAGAAGTGACAGAATTGGCCTGGAAGGTTCAAGATGAAGACAAAATAGCAACAAAAGGCAAGCCAGCCCATTGGCAGAAGCTATAACTTTATTTTCTTTTAAAACAGGGAAACTCCATTATATGCAGCCAAGGAATCCCTGGATATAAGGCCTGAGAAAAGGGATGGAAATTGCCAAGGAAGGAAGCAGCTTAAAGACCTTTTCTTGTGTGGTGAATGAGCAGCTGCTAAAAGAAAATAATTAGTATCTGTACTCCACCAGCAATGAAGTTCTCCAATAACAAGCAGGTAGAAAGAGAATCTTGGAAAGACCTCAATAAAGGCCAAATGTCTATGAATCTGCTTTTCAAAGAATGGTAAGTCTGCCATACTAACGAGACCATCAATTCATCTATTTTCCAGCTCCCCTTAAACATGATGCTGATGTGCTGGGAAAGCACAGCTGAAATAACCAGAATGCTAGACAGGCCCTTGTGTATAGGACCATGCAAGGTTTCAGATTTTGAGAGGAGGAACTGGTAAAGAACCATCAGTTGTTAGATGTACCATGGCCCAATACAGTTCAGGGATTCAGAGCTGGGAATTCCAGGCTCCATTCAAGCACCACAGAAAGGGATCGGGGGTCCTGGTCAATGGCAAGTTAAATATGAGTCAGCAGTGTGCAGTGGCAGCCAGGAGGGCCAACTGTGTCCTGGGGTGCATCAGGCACAGCATGGCCAGTCGGTCAAGGGAGGTGATTGTCCCGCTGGACTCTGCACTAGTGTGGCCTCACCTTGAGTCCTGTGTGCAGTTTTGGGCACCGCAATATAAGAAAGACATAAAACTATTAGAGAGTGTCAAAAGGAGGAATACGAGGGTGGTGAAGGGCCCAGAGGGGAATCTATATGAGGAGCAGCTAAGGTTGCTTGGCTTGTTCATCCTGGAGGAGACTAAGGGGAGATGTCATTGCAGTCTGCAGCTTCCTCATGAGAGGAAGTGGAGGGGCAGGCACTGATCTCTTCTCTCTGGTGCCCAGTGATAAGTCCCAAAGAAACAGCATGAAGCTGTGACAGAGGTAGTTTAGGTTGGATATTTAGAAAAGGTTCTTCACCCACAGGCTGGCTGGGCACTGGAAAAGGCTCCCCGGGGTAGTAGTCACAGCACCAAGCCTGACAGAGTTCAAGAAGCATTTAGACAATACCCTCAGTTACATGGTGTGGTTCTCGTGGTTGTCCTGTGCTGGGCCAGGTGTTGGACTTCAATGATCCTTGTGGGTCTCTTCCAACTCTGTATATACCGTCAGCCAAACCCACCAGCTCATCAGGGCCAGCAGAGGTGGGACCACATCTGTCCCCTTCTGCCTCACAACAGGCAGTGTGGCACCAGCTCTCCCTCTCCTCCTCACATGGGGAGGTGGAAGGGAAGACACTGATCTCTTCTCTCTGGTGCCCAGTGATAAGTCCCAAAGAAACAGCATGAAGCTGTGACAGAGGTAGTTTAGGTTGGATATTTAGAAAAGGTTCTTCACCCACAGGCTGGCTGGGCACTGGAAAAGGCTCCCCGGGGTAGTAGTCACAGCACCAAGCCTGACAGAGTTCAAGAAGCATTTAGACAATACCCTCAGTTACATGGTGTGGTTCTCGTGGTTGTCCTGTGCTGGGCCAGGTGTTGGACTTCAATGATCCTTGTGGGTCTCTTCCAACTCTGTATATTTTGTGATTCTATAATTCTGATTCTATGAATTAAGAAGCCTATAATGTTTTTAATCATACAATGCACCTACATTACCCATCCTGTGCTTTTTCAGTTTAATGAAGGAAAATGAAGCTTACTGGGTTGTCATTTGGGTAATACATTCTTTAATCACTTCACATGGCCTGCCCTGCAACATCAAACAGTTAAATTTATCTACTTTTTTTTTAAAAAGTATATTCTGCTCCCAAGGTGCTAAACAGGTATAGAGAGACCTTAGGCTGGTCTGAAGAACCCATTTAGAGCTGATGTTGGTGAATTTCTTAATTAAACTCACATTTCATTCCATTCCTAATTAACAAAATTCCATGGCTCACATATCACCTCTGCGTAAAAAGGGAAAGAAAAGTGCAGGATATCCAGCCAGTAGGAAACAGAGGCAAGGTTTTCAGTGTATTACATCATGTTAACAAGAAAAATATTTGATGAAAGTAACTCTTGAAGAGTAGAGGCAATTAGGACTCTGTCAGGAATATATGCAAAGGCACATACAGACCTGATACACATTTACTTGAAATTCTGATGCTAATTGTGAAGCTCACTCTCACCTTGTACATATGGTCCTGTTTCAGGGTGTTCTCGGACTCGAAGTGTGTAAGGCTTCTTTCGGTCTGACTGCCTTAACAAATCTCGGACACGCTCATTATAGATTTCAAGAAAACTGAAAAGAAAGAAACAAACAAAAAAAACCCCACACTCAATTAAAAACAAAACAAAAGGAGAAAGTGTATATTTAGACAGTGCAACTATCTGAATATTGCATAAATTCCAATCATAATACTTCAGTAGATCCATAGGAATTACGAATATGAACAGAATGTAGAATTAAGGCTCAAATGTAAGAGTTAAACAAACAGGAAGTAATTTTTCAGTGCACTCCTATTCCAGCTGTCTATACAAAAGTTTACAGACAGCATCCAAAGAACTATACTGAGATGGAAAACTACACCCAAGTTTCTCATTCTTCCTCTGTATTCTCCCCCTTGTTCCAAAATTATCATCTGAAAAAAATCAGAAACAAAATAAACTTGTCTATACTTAGCTTGATCACAGGAATATGTTGTTGAAAGCTTTCATAGCATTGTATGAAACAGTGACAAACTTACCTGACCTTTACCCTGCAAGATGCTGTCTGGTCTGAGTAGTCATCCTTCCTTGAAAAGAGGCCCTGTACAACCAGAAGTTTATATAAGTTTTAAATGCATTAAGAAAATCTAACTGCTTAAACAAATGCAAGTGAAGGAAAAAAAATACCTCACATATACGAGGAGTCAGCCCAATGGATGCCTTCAAATAAAAAACAGAAGAAAATGTAAACAATATACTTGCAATCACTTATGCAAAACTTTTATTTAAATAAAAGCCAATTTATAAGAAAAGTCCAGAATCATAGTGCAGTAATGACTCTATGGTGGATTACAACATAAACAGCCCTGAAGTGTAGTTCAGAACAGCATGGCTATTCATAGAAATGGCAATTTTAGAGCAATTTTCACAGCACCAATGAGAAGTTTAGAGGCTTGGGTTAAATCCAAGAGCTGTTTGATGTAAAGGTACTGGACAAGTCTGTGTCAGAGGTGTTGCAGTCTAGATTATGCCAGGACAACACTGAAACTAGCTTGATTGGACATGAATATTTTGTGGCTTATTCTGTCCTTATTCTGCTTTTATTTCTTTATGTTATGGCATCACAGAGCAGGCTTGGAACAGCCTTATGTTCTAGATTTATAAACCTGGTCTCTCAGAGAGAACAGGATATGGGCTACTAACAACACCCAAAAAGTTCAGTGTATACCAAACACTTGTTTCTTCTTAGTTTTGAACACTGCTTCACAGTGAATAGATGTTATCAAAGATCAGATCAAGGCAGTATTCCATTGGAGAAAGAAATCACTCTATAAGCCAGAAATCTCTTAGAAATACTACACTCAGAAATTTCCTTGGAAATAACATTAATTTCAAGATGTGGCCATTCTGAATTGCAAAGATATTTTCAAAACAGTGTGAAACAAATATCCTAATTTGCCACCTATCAACCCCAATTTTAACAGTCCTCCAGGCTTTCATGGCACAAAGCTTGAGTTCACATAAAATGAATGGAGAATCAGGTAATGATTTAACACAATTCTATTGCTGATGTCTGTTGGAAAAATAAAATTCCAAAAATCCAAACTCTTGTCAAAAGCATAAACCTTTCTAGAACGGCCTTTTACTTATCTTCAGGGTTTGAACAAATTTTGCCCTTATTTCACCTTAGAAACTGAATACCATGGATGTAGGAAATACTGGTTCACTTACACAAATTATTAAACGAAACTTTTCTATTTTTGGGGCGTTTCACCAACAGCTAAGAATATTTATGGATGAAAATCAAGTTGTCCTGTGTTGCAGCAGAACACAGGAAGTCCTTATCTGACTCCATCAATCTGAGTATCAAGATTAAAACGCACTTTAAGTGATTCCTGCTAGACAATCTGAAAATGTAACAGCTTCTGCAAATTCCATTCAAATACATTTCAAAACTGGAAATGAAGCACATATTAGTTTCCACAGGCCAAAGGATAACTTCTGCAACAGGTAAGTATCCCAAGTAAATAATGAAGCCTGTTACAGAGGTATTACTGGGAATTGTATCCAGATTTATTTGCAAAAGTATTTTAATTTCAGCATAGTTTAGACTGACAAAAAATTCCAAAAGAATGAATACTTTGTGTTATCTATTCTGGTTTCTAAAAACCAGAACTATTTGGGGTATAGATTTTTTTGTTCTCTAACTTGCTGTAAGATCCATACAAGGTAATATGAAGATTATCTAATGACAAATATTTGAATTACACTATATTTTCTAGTATTTTTACCTAATACTATATGATTTACCTAAATGTAAAGGCTGCCACTTTATGCATTTATATACTAAATAAAACATGTATAAGCATTCTGCTCAACAAGTACAATAATCACAGTTTCAAAATAATATGATGTTTCTGCTAGACATCCCTAAGTTTAAACCCTAAGTTTAAAATGAATGGTGTAACTCACAGGTGTTCCCAACATTGTGTAAGTTTTTCCTGAGCCTGTCTGTCCATATGCAAAGAGGCAGATGTTGTATCCTCTAAATGCACCTGACAACACAGAAGTGCCAAGGTCCTGGAACACCTGAAAAGACCAAAAGAAATAAAACAGTTCATGAACAATAAGCCTTCCTATAAACACTCTGCATTACTTGCAGATCTTGCCCCTTTAATAACTCCATGGGAACAAGGATCTTCACAGCATTCGTCTTTCTAATTTATCAGACTCAGTCTAACAAGTGCTCAGCATTCACTTGTTAGATCTTCCTTAGGACACTGGTATGCCAAGCACAGTAGTGTTTAAGTGCTTCCCTGCCTGCCATCTCTTATTTTATATTCAGACCATATGAATTCTTGAGGATCTCCCCTAGCCCAAGTTTTTACAGCTTTTCATGCCTGAAAAAAAGGCATGATCAAGGCACTTTGTTGCAATGACATTAATAGGGGCATTCAACTTCAGAATTACAGGTCAAAAGTAAAGTGAAGTCTAACCCACAGCCTGCAGGCAGACCTTATTTATACAAGTAATGTTTCCACCCAACCTGTCTGGTCAGTAAGTGACACTACCAAAGGCTACATGCTTATTTTCTGTTCATGCCAAACACACAGTGATATACCTTATTCTGCTCATTGCACTACAGAGCCATGACCTGTTACCACCAAACCAGTGTCACCTCTATGGACTTCCAATGTTTGCACTGGTCCTACGTGGCTGCTAAAATTGGACCATCACTGCCACACTACCCATATAGCAAGATCTGAACGGTCATTCCTTCTGCTTTCCCCGTTCATTTCTTTGGAGCCACAGCTGCCCCACATTGTGACCACATTCTCAGGACACCTGTGCCATGAATTGCATGTCAAACAGTCTTTTAAAAGAGGGAAGAATGGTACCCTCTCCTAAACGTCTCTTGTGTTTCTAAAGTAATTGCCTTTCTCCTGTTTACTCTGCCTGACCTCTGCATCCCAGTTCCCCAAATATGCCTCCTCTCTGCACTCCCAGCATTTCTACTTTCCTTCTTACCATTCACTTAGATGTCAGAATCCCCCAAGACGCAAAGCAAAGTGATCATACTGCAATTCTTGAGCCACAGAACCTGTTTGTTTAAGGCCTTCCACTTAAGGTTGCACTTCCACGTCAATTCTCCAGTGAACACTGAGCTTTACCTCAGTAGAAGCACTAGGATCTTTAAGCCAACCTACTTGGCCCATAAAACCTGTAGGAACCTATTATCAGAGATCTCTATCCCTCTTTCAGATTTGGTTCAACCTAGACAGTTTGTTCAAGAATTATTGGGAAACGTGGGCCAGAACCAGACAGCTACAGTGAAACTGCATTTCTTTAGAAAATTTCTTCAGGATAGGAGATTGAAGTTGCTAACTATTCAGGAGAGATTAAGAATTCACCAGTTAATTTTTCTGTAGATTCTGCCTGCTCTGGACATGCTTCACCTCATGATGTTAGAAGGACTTTTGCCCAGTTTCCAAATTGGACAGGACACTTAAATTCAGAGAAGGAGAAAGAGAAAGTTCCTCCTGTGTAAGCAGCTCAATGATTTTCTGTAGCTGGGAATGTGAATACAGGAGTAGGAAAGAATCTGATCTAAATTCAAGATGGCAAGAGCCAGATCTGAAGATTGACAGAGGATTAGTGAACAGGTAGGTAAAGTAACAACCATTGAGAAACAGTAATACTGAAAGGAAGGAATGAAAAGAGAATGAAATTGATAATAGGATCTGAATAAGGAGAAGGAGTTAAGGAAGGAAAAGTGGGGCTAGTATCCATTGGGAACAACAAATCAGTGGGAAAGAGATTGAACTTGGAAATGCAGGTAAACATTGGATTGGGTTGATATGGAGGATGAAGCACAGGAACAAAAACATGAAAGACAGATGATTGCAGTTATGTAACCCAGAGAGTAGGATTTTGAAGCAAAACCGAGTGAGACTGGAGTCAAGCATAAAGGACTAACAAATTACAGAATGCATTATCCTGAAGTAATGGAAGCAAGGCAATACTGTACCCACTTCAGAGTACCAGTATCAAATAAATTCACAGATTTTTCCTGGCTCATTGTACACAGAAGTGGCCTAAAATGAGCAGGAGTACTCCATATCAGTTTAGAAACCAGTACTTCAGGTAGTGGAACCTCTTACGACAGGGATAAATGGAGCCTAGAGAAGTATCTTGATTCTACAGTAGTTTCCTCATTCAGAGCTGTCCTCCTTTCTGATGGTTTGCAATGGATCTTTGGGAGTTAATAACTGAGCTAAGTATAAAAAAAATGAAATCTTCACAAGGTGACAAGCCTTCAGTGTAACAATACTATCCATGCCATTTGGATATTGAACTTGGTATTTTAGAACAACAGCATTTTACTTCTAATTCTGTTGTTGAAAATTTGTATGGTATTGTGCAACTCATTTACCATTTTCATGGCTCAATTTTGCTACAGATAAAGTAGGAATAATGACAACCATTAGTAGAAAATTGCAGGGTGATCTCACTAGTGTTCCTGAAATTCCTTGCGATCTTGGAACATCCATAGCAATTTAAGCCAACTGCAAATCACTGGGCACTGTCTCTCGCCACATACATTGGACTCTCAGAAAGAAGAGCATGTAACTCCAAAGCCACAGTTAAACAAAGCTGTTAAATTTACTGTCTATTAAATACACATGGCTACTCAGATGCTTTAATTCAAATGTTTCAAGTCAGTCTTTTTTGAATTAGGCCTTCAGAGAAGACATATAATACAAGCAAAACTGGATAACTCTGAAAACAGTGACATAAACCTAGGATAATAAAGCACAAGAATGTAAAAAATTATTTACTGAACTACTGTTGAAAGCTGATTTGTACTGTTTTGCATTTTTTTTCTCTCTAGTAAATTACTCTTCCCTTTTCTGAAGATAAATTACAATTCATTTAATTGAATATAGTTTCAATTTAGTCAGAAAAGTCTCTTTGTTTTAGTACTGCAGAAAAAAAATGGAGAAGTAAAGCACAGCAATTAATTTATTACTTGTTTAAAAATAAAGAGGAGTAATTGAAACCAAATCTTTTTCTGTGCAAATATCAGAGGCATTAGTCCAAATAATCAGCAGCAACAGTTGCGGATTATACAAAAAGTACTACAATTAATCATTCTGGACATATGTATAAACATATTTCATGATATAACAGGTTTACTCATGGGTTTTGTTGATCATTAGGAGGGGAAAAGAAAAAAAAAATTCTTCTGGGATCCTTCCAAGTGTCACTTTTGAAATGAAACTTCAGGAAGATGAGGTTTTTCAAAGAACACGAGTTGGATGTGGCTTCCTGCAGAGAACATGCCATTTGGCCGAGACAACTATGTCTTCCCTGCATGGCTGCTCTGCATGATTGGCACAGTTCAGGGTGTTCCATGCAAGAATGCTTCTTTCAACAAAGTCTTAACTGGCTTTGCTATGTCTTTTGCCTGCACTTATCCAGCTCTATGTGGTCCCATGGTGATCTGTGAAATGTCCAGCAATTTCTTACTTGTCAGCAGTCCTAATAGCTGAAAAAACCATGCCTTTCTGAAGAAGTTATGAGAGGGATTAAGACAATTGTTATCATTCAAGGTACTTTGCTGGCATGTTCCCTACAACATGGCCAGGTTCCAGTTCAAATCTAACAAATTCTGAATCATACAAGTTAGTCCTCATTACAGGACAGACGGCTTATGCCCTTTAAACACCTGAAAGGTTTTTCAACCTTCTGGTTATACTACCAAACTGAAACATAAACTGCACTTGAATACATCAGATATGCAATGGCTACTAAGGTGAAGTTTAAAGCCTTGGGCAATACAATTGCATGGGGCAACAGTTAATGCAGGAAATGTAAGAGATCCTAACCCAGCAATGCAGAAGAACCTTGTGATCATCAATGGTTTCAGCGGTTACACCATCTTTCTGAAGCAGAGAAAGGATTTTCTATATACAAACCCACTTCTAACACATGCTGTTTAGACCTGGATTCTCGAACTTTGAAGACATAGGCAGAAACCTCTCCAGGTGAAGTCTCACTACAGTGTATGTTTTCCAAATATTTATATGAATGGCAGATTCCAAAATCTGAGATCCCAAAAATTCAGTTTCATGTAACTGAATAAATATTTCAAAGAAAACAATTTTCATATCGCATATAAGCAACACATTAACATGAGGGCAAATTCAGGTTATAATTTCTGTTATGTGGGGAAACAACCAGTCATTTAGCGCAACTGAATTATTACCATATAGTTAATCCTATTTAGAATTAAAAGCTAGAAAGATTGACTATATATTTTCTTTGAAATCCAAATTTATTAGTGGCCAAATAACCACTGAAACTCTATTGGAAATCAAAAATCATGAAGTACAAACTGCAGTCAGCTTGGAACACAAAGTAAATCTGCAGCAAAAATTTGCAGTTTGTATCAGGTTACCCCCATCAAGAATGTCTGGATTTATTACCCAATTCAAAAGAAAATATAATTTGACAAAACAGAACAAACTGAGAAGTGTTTTGGGGTTGCTTTTTCAAGAATACTTGAGAATTTTAACCTTTCCACACAGACCATTCTTAAAATGACATTCCAAGAAAAATAATTGGAAATGCACTTTGTCTTACCAAAAGATAAATAAATTGGACCCCAGGAAATTTCGAAGAAATCCATACCCCCTGTCCAAGCAAATAGTGATAATCAATTGACAAAACATTTCTCCTCCCTATTGAATGAACCTTTATAAAAACAGCATCAGCAAACTAAAATAGTAAAACTCTCCTGGTGTAGAAATTGGGAGTATAATTTGCAACTAGATTTGTGTGTAATAAGCAAAACAACGTTTTTCACTACCGTCAAATTTATGACAGGGAAGTGATAATCTATTCTGATCATTTCCCATTTGGACAGCAGAATCAGAAATCTGATGCTACCATCTCAGCTCTCTCTTTTGCTGGCTTAAAAGTCGGAATTTGAAGTGGTTTTTTTGCATCTTTCTTAAAGAATGAATTTTTGAGATACTGAAAAATACCCTATTTATTAGCCTGAGATTATATCACATTTTATCACA